TGTTTGCATGTGTGGATATTTGGTAGTAAAGCAAAAAAGGAGAACAAAACTCTCCAAATCTCTCACTTGACAAACCGCAGCACCAAGCGGCAACTTGGATTAGAGGCTCCTTGTTGTTGATTTTTATTTAAATCTTTTTATTTTTCAAGGTAAAGCACTTTGTAACATTTGTTTAAAAAAGTGTTATACAAACAGGGTATTATTAATTTTAAGACTTTTAGGCACCTAATTACATGAGATAGTGTATATTTAACAATTATTTTCATTCCTAAACAAAAATGTCAATCAGCAAAGGAAGTTAAAGGAAGTTGTTAAGAGTTGTTGCTTCTTAGACAGTTTTCTAATTTTGCATCTACATTAAGTCACAAAACTGGTAGAACTCTTGTTGTGTGTTTCAGACCAAAATCTCACTTTGACCAAAATAATACAATTTCTTGTATTAGAGTTTTTTAGTATGTCATGCAGTGAGTTTTAAAGATATTTTTTTTTCTACTAACTAGAAGAAATTTTATTTGTGTTATTGAAGAAACGCAGAGTGTTTTAGTTTTACTGCTGTCCTGCTCCACAGTGTGTCTCAAGAATCTTCTCTAAATGAAAGCAGCTAACTCACATTTGAAGAATTGAAGAATGCAACAGAGAGACATTTTTGGAAACTTTATCAGCCCGGAGTGTTTTCTGCTCCCGCTGGGACCCGGTGGTGGGAAAGCTTGATGCTTACAGCCAAAATTGAACTTTTGTGTACACTCATTGTAAAGTATTGTAGCTTCTTCTTCCCAGAAGCCATAAAGGGTTAAAACAGGCAGGAGTTTCTGAAAACTGTCAGCAGGTGATTGTGCAACTTGGAGAAAGCTGAAAAATAAAGACTTTTTTTTACTATTGACTATAACCTCCCTGCTGAAGAGACACTGAAACATCAGTATGAACATTAACTGATCACCTTCATTACAAAGCTCGACATATATGGAAAAACACTTGTCCTGGACTTTGTATTCTTGTACAAATACAGCATTTGGCGCAGTTGTAACAAGTAGCTCCCTCTTTAAATAAACAGGTACTCTATAGCCAGGTCAGTCAGTTAACATTGTTACTCTTTTGAAAGCAAGGGCTTTACCTCTATGGATGCCTGGTGTCAGAGGTGATAGAGGCACTAAGCTGCATTCCTCCTTTCAAAATGTGGTGAGAGCCTCCAGAGGAGGGGCTGTTAACAGGTTTATAATGGGGCAAAGGTCTAACTTGCTCATGTTATTCAGCCTGAAGGAAGCTGTGTGTTTTGTTCAGAGCATAACTCAGCAAACAGGTTGAAAATGCACACCAGCATGCAAAATGCTTGTACAACCTGGGAGGGATTGAACTTTGTTGGTGTTAGGCTATGCTGGGGTCAGTGGACACTTTGATTTGTCTCTTTAGACATTTATATGAACAAAGATTTCATTAGAAATTTCATATGAGAAGCTGGTGGTTCAGCTATGTTATTTTTGTACATTTTGCATCAGGAATGTTTGATGCCTCAAATGGAGAGGCATTCTCTTGGGATGGATCTGTTGGAAGCATCCATCTGCTTCCAACAGATCCACAGTTTTTATCAATGACTCTGTCAACAGGTTCGGTGTTGACGCTGTTTCTCAGCATGGCAGACTGAATACAAAGAGTGAAAATGGATGGCAGACAGAGTCTGAGTTGGTCATTAAATGCAGTACATTTGTCTGCTGACACATGGACCAGCATCACCTGCTTTTACAGCACACACTTTTCATTTCAGTGGGCAGGTAGTGAAAAGAGACGGTTGCATTTAAATTATAACAACATTATCAGCTTGGATGAACAAAACTTCGCTGTGGGCTGACGTTGTGCTGCAATGGCACAAAAGAAGAGATTCTAATCTTTCACAGAAGCATAGAAACAGACATGGAGATGATCAAAAAACAGATGACTAATCTTTTAATTTATGACGCACAAGGCTTCAATCCTTGATGCACTAAATAGCTGATCAGAAATCCAAATGATTCTTTTTTTTTACATAACTTGGAGCAAAAACAGATTTACAATCTTTATGTTGTTAAAGGTTGACATGATCCAGCACAATTTGACACAAGATAATACCTAAACGTTTACATGTTTAAGAAACACTTTTGAATGCAATCGTCTATGGTCATGGTTAATCATTTTGAAAATAATAATTAACCTTTAAGAAAAAAGAGACGAGATCCACCTTCTGTAGAATTGGCTCAAGGATCATTTTCCCTGATTTATTGATGCTTCACTGCAGCAGAGAAAACAAAAACAGATTTTTGGCCCAAAGCCAGCATCTAGATTGTTATTTCTAATACAACGGGCAGATCAGAGCCTGAAAGAGCCTGAAAGATTGGCATGTGGAGTTTCACCGTGTTAAAGGAGCATTTCTTCTCATTGTCACGTCCTTCTGTGAAACAAACTGCATTCTGCACATATTAAAACAGCAGCTCTGTGTTGCAATGCCATTGGTGTTAAACTGGTCTGCCTGCAGTCCAGACATTTCAGTCTCTAAAACATTTGGTGGCTTTCAGTGTAATTTTAAATAAACTCGAATTTTTGATCTACTCAGTTTAACAAGTCAAGAAACTTAGAAAGGCCACAAATGATCTGATGCCCAGACAAAACTTTTCCAATGGCAGTTTGCAAAAAACAACGTGCAGTAAGTCAGTTGGATGAAAAAGAAGAGTGAGAAGAAGGTCCATTGAGAAACCATGGAAACTGGTTTCAAACAAAGCCAGAGATTGTTGCTGTAGGAGTGAAGAGTCTGTGGGCTTGAAACAGGACTGTTGTTTTCTCTTGGGATGCCTGCAAGCAGCTACAGAACACAGTCAGCTGGAGTTCTGCTCCCTCAGGGCTGTTCATCTTAAATAACTTACCTCCATCCTTCAACAGTTTGGAATCGAGTGTATGTCCTTTCTACCGCTCTGCCCTTAATGAACAAGCATCAAGTCACTTGTGTATTGACTTCAGAAAGTCAGGAGATGCACTGAGGTGTTTAAGTGTTCCTTCCTGTCTGAGTGTTACCACTTGGTGAGGTTCACATACAAACATGCATCTTTATATTTTATACTCAAGGGGCCCGTTTGACGTCACACATTCCCCTGAGCTACCTCCACACAAGAGGTCTGCTTCTCAACCTCTTCGCTCCGACTCTCCTTCAGTCACCAGAAGGCCAGAGGCGCATTCCTCAGCCTTGTTACCACTGAGATGTAAACATGTGTGTGCTGAGGTTCTTTTGAACATGTGTCAAGGAGTTAAGCAACAGTCTTCTCTGATTTGGGAATAAAAAGTTGTAAACTTCCATAAGTTAAAGGCTCTTTGCTTTAATTCTGAAAATTTCCATGGAGTCTGGTGGCAGCTGTGTTCTGGACTTTCTTTTGACCATATGGACATCAGCACTGTGGGGTCCTGCTGATATACCCTGCAGTTTGCTTAGGCTCACTGCGTTGAAGCAGAGCTGCGATATTAGCAGTGCAGTGAAAGTGTCACCGTGTCTTTGTTTGCTGTTGAGGCCTGATCAACTGACTGATGGTTTAGGTTGGACGGCCATCCTGTTGACTCACTCTGTGGGCTTCTCTCTGATGAGAAGTTGCTGAATGGCTTCTCTGGAAGACTCACTTACTAGACTTTTGTGCACAACTCGTATGCACTTGAAGTCATGGCATAACATGAAGAGTGTGTGTCGCTGAGGGTCTGTTTGTTCAGATGTTTTCCCACAGACCCTGTGAAGCATGAAAGCATTAAGCCACACGAGACTGTTTAGTCTGTGGATTTCCTACAGCTCTGTGGTTGGACATGTGTACCTAGAAACCTGCATTATTAAATTCTCATACTTTCTGTCAACACCACTTCAATTCATTCAAATTTCTCTTTTGAAAACTATATCAAGACGAGATGAGAATTGTGTTTAAAATATCTTTTGACCTTTTTTGGGACAATTGGTCATTGCTATTTAAATTATGAACAAAAGTGATGTAATTTTTGTAAGACATCCAGTTTGAAACAAATGCATCATTGAAGAGCTGACTATTTATACCCGCTTAAACTTATGTACAAATTATCTGTAATTAATAGAGAATAAACATCCTTAGCGTAACCCTGAGATTTCTAAATGACTGATATTCCAAATCCATTGTGTTTAACAAACGGGAGGTTGGAAGCCCAAAAGAAAAAAAACTTCATTTTACTTAGTTTAGACTTCCTGTTTTCTGCTAGTACTGAAAATGATCCCATTCCTATTTTTCTGTTCCACATATATTTCTTCTTTGGGTTTGTAATTGTTGTAGATGCAACAACAAAGTTGCAGCTCTAAACATAGAAACATAGAGTTCCAACTGCAGAATCACAATAGCCCGTCTGTCCATAACATCCCATTCTGCATTCCCAACATATTGTCCTTCACATGACGTTCATCTCGGTTCGTTCTGTATGTGTGAGTCACTGATTTATCTGCTGATGAAGAACTACTGCTATGCCTTTCTATTATTATTTTAAAATTTTTTATGGTTCCTGTGTATCCTTAAGAAATGTGGTGTGTCTTTAAGTGTTGATCTGCATTTTCATTGCTGTTTGGTGAAACTCAATTTATTTTTTCCTTTGGGTGTCAGAGGAATTAGAAGCAGGTCAAGGAATTTGTTGTTCTGTAAAAACTTCATAGTTCTGTTTTTTTCCCTGATATGTTGATCATGATACTATTCATTTCATTTTTGATATTTCATTCCTTTAATTTGCACCATAAACATATGTTCACTTTTAGTCACAGCCACACCCTGAAACCTTCATAATTTGAAGTTTTCTGTGGAAATGTAAGAAAAGTGACTCAATTGCAGACATCTGAAATTCTTGATCTCACATGATTAACTGAGCGGAAGAAAATAGACAGTTGATTTTAAACAAGAACTGTAGTTGTAAATGAATTTACTGAAGTGCAACAATTTTGATTAAAAGGTGTGAAGTGACTTATGCTCATTGAAATGAATGTTTTGCAGGCCTGCAACAAGGAGACTGGGGTTCTGGCTGCAGCCAAAGTGATTGAGACAAAATGTGAGGAGGAGCTGGAAGACTACATGGTGGAGATTGACATCCTGGCTAAATGTGACCATCACTACATCGTCAAGCTCCTAGATGCGTTTTACTATGAGAACAAACTCTGGGTATGTTGACACTTTATCTGTTTTGTAATGTATAATTCTGAAGCAAATGGGATCTATTGTTTGCAAACTCTCCAGTCGTTTATCTGAGAAATGCCTCTATAGTAGTGCTCTGGAAAACAGGAGGATTATTCATAAAGTTGATCACAATAACTTTTCTTACACATTTTCTCTTATTTGCAGTAACCACTTTGAAAAAATGTTGGATGCTTTAAATAATTCTTTAAAAAGCCTCTATGCAGCTGATTGCAAAACTATTCCTATCACTCAACTTTTTCTTTTAGAAAATCTGAAAAGTGTGTGACCTAATGGTGGAATTTGTGAGTTCATGGTGATTTCCTGTGAGTTCTTACGCCTTTAGTTTAATAATGATTTTTTTTCATAATAGCTACATTTTTACAGCAGATGTGTAATAGTTGTCCTGTCAAAATATTCCCCCACTTTACCTGTGGATCCCTGCAGCTCATCCAGAGTAACTCTTGACCTCTTCTCTGATAAATGCTGCATCCAACTGACTTTTACATTTTGATGGGCAGCCATCACTTGTGAGGTCTGCAGAAATACAGCAGTCTTTTCATTTTCAGATGATTGATTGAAATCTGCTTCAGGAGATTTTCCAATCCTTGCCAGTTTTTCTGTGACACACCCAGACGTTCTGAAGTGTTAAATGGTCATGATGATGTCAATGTTCTCTAACAAATATCTGAGGCCTTCACAGGACAGCCAGATTCATGCTGAGATTAAACACTGATGGACTTTATTGACTTATTATATATCTACCGCACCATACTTCTAATTGTTGCTCTTTCATAAAAAATCACAATCTCAAAGGAAGCTTTGTGCTTTTTGCTGCTTCACCTCACCTTGAGTCCATTTCTGTCTAAACACAATATGAAAAGTTCAAATTATGATTTGAAGTTGCAGTCCATCCCCCGGGTAACGTAATGTTTCAGAGATGACCCCATCCTCACCCTGATGTTACTGCAGGAAAGATCAATTTCACTCACGTGTTTTCTGCTCTTCAGTCTTTCCTCATCTCCACACTCACTTTGAGTCCAGATGAAACTGTTCTTGTAATCCTCCCACTGGCCAAAACAAATAATGGTGACCTCATGTTGGGACTCAACCTTGCATTATCCAAATAACTACATTACAGGGTCAAGTCTAAAGATAGTAATGAGCAGAATTTCCTTTTTTGGCAAAACCAAATAAACAAAAAAATATATTTTCCACTAAAGCATTAAACATTTTGCTAAACGCAGCGATGGTGCGATACTCATTGATGAGTTTTCATATGTACAACACAAAAAAGGTTGTGTGTGATTCTACATTCAGTGATTTTGTTATTTGAAGTTTTAAGTGAAATAAATGTTGAGATGTGTTCCCATGTGGATGACAGAGTGACCTGGCCTTGGTGTCCACATAATTGATATTAAACCTTCAGCTTATCTCATTTCATAAAGCTGCATGGTGGATACTGCCCTGCAGTCACTATATCACTGTGTCTGAAGTCGTGGAGGCTCTTTTCAACACGATCTCTCACATAGAAAAACTGAGTGAGAGATGGCTGCTTCTCTGTGTTTTTAATTCAGATGTTCTGCACATTCTGATGCAGAACATCTGAATGTGGGTCATACAGACGGTAGTTTGAGCTGTCAGCAGATGAATCATAATTACATTTCAAGATCAAAATTCCCACATGTAAATATGTTCTGAGTTTGGCTGACCTGATTTTAATAATTTATCGTAGTTGATAACTAGAAGAGAAGTGGTGAAATTTACAATGGTTTCCTTTCGAAGGCACATTTACTACATAATAAATGGCAGTCAGTTTTAAGGGGACTTTTGCAAGGAAAAACATTTCCTTTTCACAGCGAATTCACAGTAATGACAAAGTTGTTGTAAACATACTGTGGAGTCATTTCTGAATGCTAAAAAAAACTGTCAAAAACTTTTAGGTCAACTTTCAAAACCACACAAATGAAACGCCTTTCAGTGCTGATCTGGAGAACCTGGATGTTTGACCCGACCTGAGCTGTACCTCCACATGCAGCTGCATTGAGTTTTGGTCATAGCTGAAATTCCACAGTATTGAACGTAAACCATCCCCATCACACAGTTTATACTGGTATGTCGGATATACAAATATCCCCTTTTTGTTGCATTTAAACCACACACTTCCTGTGGGTTTGTGTGTCTGCATTAGAGTTGCAGCTTTTGCTTCACTGCCTTGCTTCTAAGTTGTTTTCAGATAACATTGCTAATTTAGTACAAGTCTGAAAACATGATCTGTGAAAATGTTAATTTTGAGTTGAGGCTTTAGTAACCCTGCAGCTGGGTCTGCTGGGCAGGGTGCACTGCTGGACTTCACTATGGACCCACCCGTTCTGCTTTCCATCTCGTCTGAGAAGGTCGAGAGAAAGGAGGAGGAGTAAAAGCTGTTTGTTCTACCTCAGGAAACAATTTGATCTTGAAGCAAGCAAAGTGGCGTTCCCCAACAGTGTGAGAAAAATACGGCCTTTAACTTGGTGCTGACATTAGCAAGCATAGAAAAACGAACAGAGAGAGGAGGAGGAAGGAGGAGAAGAGCAGGGCAGTGGAAAAGGTAGAGCACAACGGCAGAACCACATCAGAGCACATCAGTTTACTCACTGATGACACCAAAACAAATTCAGTCTGTTGCTGCCTGAGTGAGAATGTTCAGTGTAACCCACATGCTATATAATAATGGTCACATTTACAAAGATGCAATCAAAACCAAATAAAAGTTTGATTAAGCCTCCTTCAGTCCTCATTATTAAAATCATTTTTAGCGCAAGCTATTCTTGTCTGCTGTAAGATGAAGTCCAGCCTCACAGCCTAACCCTTGCTGCAGTCACTGTTGGATTCCATGCTTTAATAGATACTTTTACAATGCAAAAGTTGTCAATACTTTTTTAGTCTTGTTAAAAGTTGCTTCCTTATAATCTGTTACTACAGAAAGAGCCGTTGTACCAAATGCCAATTCTCAAGATTAAAATGGTGATTTGCACCCCATAGGTCAAGGGTCAGTCTCTGCCCTGAGTGAAGGAGTTAATTAACTTTGTGTATTAGTAATGTTTAGGTGGAGAGACGTGGATGCTGCTCTGGTCTGGCAAGATAAGAAAAACCTGAGTGAAACAGAAAACCCCTGGTTTATCACTCTGTCTGTGTTCTGAGCCCAACCTGAGGTTAGGAGATATGGATCTAAGCCGAAAGATTCAGATCTGAGAATCCCAGATACACAAGGCTGAAATCAGCTCCCTCTGCAGGAGGACTGGGCTCAGTTTGAGATATTTGGTGAGGAGGTCCAAACAGCTGTTTCTTTGTTTTGAAATGAGACTGAGTATCTGTTTTGCAATTTGGCACTTTATTTTTTCTTTGTGTGATTGATTGTTATTTTTTCTTTGTGTCCTGACATATTCACAAAATGGAAACAATTTTCCTGGGATGATCACATGGATGGGTCATCTCCGGATGTCCCTCCTGGTCCAGTTCCATCTGTCAGTCAAGCAGAGACAAATGAAAACGCTAATAGGACTAAAATGTTCCTATTAGTTTTGCTGTATGAAATCTGTTTGTGTGCATCTAGTCAAACTTTATCTCTTCTCTCACAGATCATGATTGAATACCACCATTACAGTAAGAATAAATTGGTGGATAGTTGGCTTTAGTTTATGCACTTTTAGAAACATTTAGCTTTGGACCTTTTGAGAAGACACAGTTCACTGAACAGTTTCAGCACTGCAGCAAAGGATTACTTTGTTACCATGGGACTCTGGATTTACTCTGTGCTGTGTTGTCACCTTTTTTTATTCTTGATTGCACGTTTTAAAGAAGGTCTCTGTTGGTGAATGGCCTTTTAGTTCCTTTCACCTCAGAGAAAATTAGGTGGGAAATCACTGAAGCTGTTAAGTGGTGAAATTGTGGACAATACAGAGTCAGCAAAGTCTGCTCTTTCTGTTTTACTGCTCTATATGTCTGTAAGCCTGCAGAGATGCCTTAAAACATAAACAATACAAAGAGACATTCACAAACAAAAAGAAGAAATGGCTTTAGCGAAACAACTTTTTAGAGTATGTAGCAGATATCAACTAAAAAATGGATCCTGCACATTAAATGGATCCTACTAGCAGTGAACATTTTACATACAATCCCCCGCCTGCTCGACTTTAGGTTTTTCTGTGAATCTCAGGGAAAGATTTAGTTGCTGTTCCGCCCACAGTGGGTATGCTTTGCAAGCAGCTTGACCAGTTGGGGCGCATTCTTGTCCAGACAGCAGCACGTCACCCTGAATTCCTCTGGGTGGGGACGACCAAAACAAAAATCACATGTGTAGCAATCTTTCTTCCTGCTACTTGCATTGAAGAAACAGAAGATTTAAAGCTTGGGTGGTATGGCAGGCTAAGAATTTAAACATTTTCTACCACAGTTGTTCTCATGTTTTTTATAACTGATTGTGTCTCATTTCCTCACAAACACAAAAGGTTTAAAGGATAGATCCATTGGTACAGCATCTAAATGATACAGTGTAAATATTAATTTCATTTTATTTAGAAGTTGAAACTTCAAAATTTGAGGTTGAGAGAAAAATAAAACATGTCCCTTGAAGTAAAACTTAAAAGATTGAAAGGTAACTGGAATCCAGAAAAAGTCAGTCTTTCCTAGTTCACCATCATTCATCTCGTTACAGTTCATACAAATATCAAAACTTCCTCTGAAGTTCCACTGAAGGTGGTTCAAGATGAAATGATGGGAATCCAAAACTTTCATATGTACATTATTATCATTATTTTTAGTCATTTACCTTTTTTGTAATACATACAAGCTTCCTTTTAAAACATGTATACCTTAGTGTAGTTTGTCACATAAAAGCATTTCTACCAGTTGCTGTGTTTGACTTACAGTGACTACCTTCAGATTTGATTTTGCACGTGACAAATGTGAACAAAGATGTTTCTGGATCCCGTATCTGGTTCTGGTGTATCTCAGCGTGGGCACACGTACTTTTTGTTGCTTTTCTTAGGCTTGGCTGAAACGCCACTCCTTGTGCCACACTGATGCTTTGATAGTGTTGCCATAGCATGTAGAGACACTGTAATTACAAGAGGATGAGATCATTTCACAGGTATGTTCCATATTTACCTAGGCTTGATCTCTGGACACTGGAAATCAAAGTATCAGTTATATTCTATACTTTCACACCGACCGGTACATATATGATAGAAATACTTTCCAAAAAAGTATTAGTTTGTTTGCTTGTTGCTTTTTGGTTAAAATATGAGCTTTTTATAAAAACCTTCATCACATACTTCAGTCTGAATGCAACAATATGACTGTAAAATGAACCCAAAGTCTTTCATAATTTATATTTTGTCCCTGAATGATAACATTTCTAAAGGACATTTTCTACTAAGCTTACTATAAAATAAAAACAATTAAAATTAAAACACAAATTAAATCATTTTAGTAATTAAAGAATTGAAATGAAACAAAAAAGAAACTTGAATTAAAGCAGTGAAGAAGCATACCACCATCTCATACCAATTAAAAAAAAAAAAAAATCAAACTACACTGAAGCAAAAGCTGCTTGTAACGCTGGAGGAGGTCAGACAAACAGAAGCCTGAACTAATTCATGTCTATGTTTTTATATTAAACTTTAATTCCCTGTTTGAGCACCGTGTCCTGACATATTCACAAAATGGAAACAATTTTCCTGGGATGATCCCATGGATGGGTCATCTCCGGATGTCCCTCCTGGTCCAGTTTCGTTTGTCAGTCAAGCAGAGACAAATGAAAACGTTAATAGGACTAAAATGTTCCTATTAGTTTTGCTGTGTGAAATCTGTTTGTGTGCATCTAGTCAAACTTTATCTCTTCTCTCACAGATCATGATTGAATTCTGCGCTGGAGGTGCTGTGGATGCTAACATGCTAGGTAAGCCCTCTGTGTTGTTTTTATGGCTCCACCTTTCTCACCTGTGCTGATCTCTAAGTAGAAATGTGCTATTGTTATTACTCCTCATGTTTATCCCTGTAATAATAATAATACTGTTTGAATTAAACCCTGGCACTGCATAGCTCAACACAGTCAGACTTAATGGGGATCCATTAGTGTGGGAAACCCCCTCTGCCTGTTTTCATTGGATAATTCCCCTCCAGTGTGCAGCTCTGTGAGGCTAAACAAACACAGACAAAACTGAATAAAGTCTGTGGGCCTCCACTGACTTCAATGTGTGACATCTTTATTTTTTTTCTAATCAGGCATTACTTACCCAGCATTGCCATCTGATCTGAAATCACAGGTTTACCTTGTGATGTTTTCTCCCATGGTAGTTGCACAGTAGCTCAGTCCTCAAGACTTCATTTAATCATGGTACTTCGCAGGCTACATATACACTTTGAAGGTCTCCCTGCAGGTCTAAAAGCTGCTTCATTTTATTTTTACTTCTGGTCGTTGCTCTATAGTGAAGCTGTGTGTCTCTTTGCCGTTTGTCAGAGTTGGATCGTGGACTAACTGAGCCTCAGATCAGAGTGGTCTGTCGGCAGATGTTAGAGGCTCTAAACTACCTCCACCATATGAAGATCATCCACAGAGACCTGAAGGCTGGCAACATCCTGCTCACCCTGGAAGGGGATATTAAACTGGGTAAGTGTTCAATTGTTACTCCTTTCAATGATAGTTTGATCATTTGAGTAATATCAATATGTTTTTCACTGTTTTGCCAAGTGCAAACTTTTTGATGCCCATTGCAAGAAAATTGTTGGTGTATTTTCTACATTTTGTCATGTTACAATCTCAAACTTATCAGACATTTTTATAACAGACCAACACAAATTAGACTAAGGTGTAATTTTAAAGAAACTAAAAGTGTTGCCCATTCTTTTTTGGGAGAAAAGCTGAAGCTCCGTCAGATTGAATGCAGGATGTCTGTGAATGTCAGTTTTCAAGTTTTGCTGAGTAGATTTAGATCTGGTTTTTGGTTTGGTGTTTCAAGCACCAGTTGCATATTTTGGGCTGTTTTTCTGCATGGATGGTTAGTCTGGTATTAAATGATGTAATTAGCTCCTCCTTGCTTTCCCACCATACAGGCAGGAAATTCAGATTTGCTTGCACCTCATCTGTCTACACATTTGTTTGATCTGCATGGCTTCTGGCAAACGACACATAACATAAATCAAGCTCAGATTTGTGGAGTGCCGCACTGTTATGATTCTCCCACCTGAGCTGTGGATTCCTGCAGCTCCTTCAGAGTTATCCGGGCCTCTCGTCTGCTTCTTTGTTCATATTATGTTTTGTTATTGCATCAGATAGAATCCTAATAAAATACATTGAAGTTTGTTTTTGTAACATGGCAACGATGTCAAAAGGTTATTTTGATATTAACAGTTTATTTGGAAAAAAAGATTCTATTCTTTGTTGTATTTTATGGTGAACACTTGCAAAGTTAAACCAGTGTGAGAGGAATTCCTACAGAAACCCCAAATTCTTGATACACATGGACTATTATCTTCAGATTCCTCCACCCACACACAAACACACACACACACACACACGGACACACACACACGCACACACGCCGCACACGCACAGAGCTGCACTCCGACTGCAGCACTGCCAGCAAATCATAAGTGAGCATTGTGTGGGAAAACTGCATTCTGAGAATGTTGCATTTTTTCCTATATTGACTCTTTGAAGAGTTCTTCACATTCTCCACATTGCACAGCAGAGGTTGTTGACCCAACCCAAAGGCCAGTGTGTTTTGGATTAAAACACAGTTTTCCAGAAAAGAACAAAATGCTGCATCAAAAAGCTGTACGAGTTTAGGAGGTCAGCATTTGCATCCAACTTCACAACAGAAATATTTGTTATTTTAAATACCAGGATTTATTTTTGCAGAACTGAGTGAAGAGGTGGAGCTGTGAGAGCTGCTAATTTATGTAATTTCCTTGTGGAACCAGCTTTAGTATTGGTTTTGTTTTGATTTTTAAAAAAATCTTCCCAGTGAATCATTTTGTCAGTCATGCTGGTCTCACTGAGCTGGACTCAGTGCCCAACATTCCTCCCCAGTGCAGCCACAGTTAGATTTAATCACTGGGAGTTGCCTCTTCAGGCTCATTATGTCATGACATGAACTCATTTACAGTCTCCATACTTATCTAACTACATGTTAATTTAAACAAGCCAGCAATTAAGAGTCTCTGAGGTCACTAACCCATTGAAATGTAGCAATGAGACACAACATTAAACTTATGCAGCAGATCTCAATGTTTTAAATGGCTTTGGTAAAAGTCTTCATCAGTAATTGATTTGCATCTATAAATGCATAAATATAAATGCAAAAATATTTATACATGTTTTGTAACAGCCACCATCTTTGTTGGATTTGATTGAGATTTTATTTGATAGATCATTATGAAGAATTATCTATTGGAATCAGCAAAACTAAACATATTTACATCAATCACCTTAATATGCATGTCTATCACATAAAAAATATATTTTCCTATTTTAAAAACAAAGAGAACACAGCCAGAAGTTATGTCAGTAGTGTTGTGAAAATGCAGCACTTCAGATTATTTTTTTGGTAGGAAGGTCCATGGCTCTTTAAACTACAATGTGTAAAATGCTGTGAGCCTTTTCAGTCCCAATAATAGAACATGTAAGTAATTAAAGGAGAAACCCTGTTGTGCAAACATTTCTGTTCTCTGACCGTGCCACATTCTTGTGAATAAACTCAAAAAAATGGAAGAAAAGCAGTAATAATCAGGGAACATAGTAGCCCTGTAATCTTAGGGTTTTTCAGGGAATTTGGGTGGCGCTGTTTGGAAAACAGACTATAAATTCAATCATTTGGCTTTCCTCTCTCCAATAATTTCATGACAGCTTTAGATTTACTATTTGTCTATAGCTATGTTCATTTGTTCCTCCATTCTTCTCTTTTGCAGCGGATTTTGGTGTCTCTGCAAAAAATACAAAAACGTTACAGAGGAGAGATTCTTTCATTGGGACGCCATACTGGTAAGATACCCAGCATCTTAACAGAGCAGAGGAACTTTGAATATCAGTTGTCATTTGAGAAGCTTGTGTGCTCTTGTTTCATACATTCATACAAATGACCAACATCGGTCAAATAACTTTTGAAATATTTTTTTTTCTTCTTTTTTGAGCTAAACTTTAAATAAGTCAAGATAGATGAAATTAAACATGCATAAATTTGAGCTCTTGGTTGGAAAATGGATCATTTCAGCAGTTCTTTCCTGTGTGGTTCTGTTTGAGAACCAGGGACCGTTTCTGCATGAACCTTGTTCTACGGTGTGATCCTCTAAGTGAATATTTGTTGCAGCTGTTAATTAGTGACTAGCGCAGGTTATGATGCATTGATGACGGCTGATAAGAGAAGCGACACAGTTCATATTAAGACGTAGTTGGAAATTCCTGTTGTACTTCGGAGCTGTTATGAAATGATAGTTTTGGTTCTTACTAAGAAGAGAAATGTTCTACTCTTCAGTTTATTTACTTTGTTCTCTGTCCTAAAAGCTATAGATTACTAATTTATAAATGAAGATTAATCAAATCTGCTGCTCGGTTGCAGAATTGCTTCTTTTTTTCCAAGTGGAATTTTATATATTTTATATATTTAGACGTTCCTGTGTTATGAAAGGAAACCAGTGATGAATGTTTGATTTGCTTGTTCCAGGATGGCTCCAGAGGTGGTGATGTGTGAGACGATGAAGGACGCTCCTTATGACTACAAGGCCGACATCTGGTCTCTTGGAATCACGTTGATCGAGCTCGCGCAGATTGAACCCCCTCACCATGAGCTCAACCCAATGAGGGTCCTGCTGAAGGTCGCCAAGTCAGAACCCCCAACCCTGGATCAGCCTAGTAAATGGTAATTATAGCAAATCTGGAAAGTCTGAATATAAAACCTCAAAACAGTTTTAATCTTCCAGTGTAAAGTAAGTAAACAGCCTGGAGCAGGAAACAGAAATATGTAATTTTATTTATTACAGTAAAGAGCTTCCTGTTTGTTTTTGTTTCGAAATCTCTGAAATCTCCACCTACAGTCTCTTTATGAAAGTACAACAACGTTCCAAACAGGCGGAGCATAAACAGATGCCGAGCCGTATCTTTTCCTATCAGTTTTACGAGTCTTAATGTTCTATTGTAGCTAAATTTATAGCAGTTATCAGTGACAAGTTGCTGAGTCATCACGCTGAGTGGATATCTGTGAAGGGATGATTTGTTTGGGTCAACATCATGCATCTTCTTCATATTTTTATTGTGCTGCAACCACTTTTCTTCTGCCATCTATCTCCCCTCTTCTTACCAACCAAAGCTGTTTTTATGTATTTGCTCTAGGTCAAGGGATTTTAAGGACTTCTTGAGGAAAGCTTTGGATAAGAACCCAGAGAGTCGCCCCAGTGCAGCACAGCTGTTGGAGGTGAGGAGCAATAAAGTGTGCAAAGTTACAATCTAGTAAAGATTATGCAAGGTTGCTCTTAAGCATATGACATAATTTTGCCCTTGTTCTTTTCTTATCCTAATTGAACAGAGAGTCAAGTTCAGGATTATATAAATGCAATGATAAAAATATGCATTAATAAAATGATTGTTTCTATTTTTCTGACTGAACATAGATACTCTAATTAAATGTTGTATTTATAAAGAAAAAATAGGTTTTAGGGTATATGTTTATCAGCAGTGCCAAAAAAGAGAGCATTAATACTATTTATGTGCTAAAAATGGTTGGACTAATTTTTTTTATTAAATCTTCACAAAACCAAATACTTGTAGTGAGTACAGCTGTGTGTATATATATGTATGAAACAAACTCAGATTCTCTTTGTTAGTCAAAGTTCGTATTTTCAAAATCAGAGACAGAAAGATGGGTGTGGATTAAAGGAGGAGTCGCATCTGTTGGGATTCATTCCCCTCCTCAGCTGTGGCGTACAGCTGAGGAGGGGAATGCCAGCTATTTACAGGCCCACTGTGAGCCAGCAGTAGAGCAGGACCACTTTCTGTGTGTCATTTAGTGGGAGGAAGAGATGAAAAGTCCAAGACCCAGGCCCGGCGGGAATTCTGTCTGTTCTCCTGCAAGGGGAAAGAGACGGGTGTGGTGCCACTTTTTGATTCACTGCTGAACGTCTCAGATGTTTATCGTGCCTGCTGCTCCCAGTGCTTCTAGATGCTCACACGGTGAAGGTGGTGTTGTCCGGTGAGGTCACTTCTTTGGGAATTACCGTAGTTTAAGACAAGTTTTAGGTTCGATTCTCCAATTCAGTTGTCCACATCTTTCATAAACAGAAGAGATTTGGAGTGATTTTCTAGAAATTGGGATGAATCATAGATAATAGCGCCTGGAGTGCAGATTGAACTACATAAAGAAACTAAATTATGACATAAATGAAAGGCTTCAAGTCAGCGTCATGAAGCTTTTCATGGGAAATGGGAATTAATCATCGCTTTAACTCTGGTCTTGTTTTATCTATCCCACATGTTTTCCTGTAAAGAATGTATGCAAACATCATGAAACATTATCCGTCACTTTGACTCTGTGGCTGGCTGCAGACCATCTGGATGACTAGTATTCCCTACGATGCAAGCAGCTTCTCCTCCTTCAGAGTTTCTCATTTTATACAGTGTGCATAATCTTTTTGTTTCATTTTTTAATGTGTCTATGTTTTATTGCAAATACACCAATCCCTAAAGTTAAGTAGTCAATGTTGATTATGTAGACTGGTAAGAAATGAAGCAGTCTACTCTAACAGAAACTCCAGGCTTTTTTTCTTTTTTACTTTAGGTAAATGAAAGGCAGGAAAGTTTTCTTTACGTCGGCTAAAATAATAATTTTCCTGACCCCAATCTAAAGCTGATTATAACCTTAAACCAGAAATTAGCCGAGCTGCTCTGTAAAAACCAGAGGAGTGACCTTTTGCTACTATAAACTCTTGTTTTTTTTCTGAATAATTCGAAGGTAACTGCATGCATGTAACCCACTGGGCCATATTGTTCATGTTTGACCTTCTCACGCCATGCATGTCAAATCTCCATCCGCTTTGAGGCACCGTGAAAACAAGATGGAAAGTAAATTATGCTGCAGTGTTTTAAAAAAAAGAAAACATGGCTAATCTTTTCCTAGCAGTTGTACATTACTCCATTATTAAAGTTGAAGAAATGATTTTTTTATTGATAGTTTTTGGTCATCATGTACTGGCAGACAACTGGTAGGTGCAGAACTGTAAGTTGGAGAGAATAATCAACTTATAAACTTGGAAACAGATTAGTGGAAGGTGTGCACGGACGGACTGCATGTTCACAGAAGCTGAAGAGAGCTGTGAGGAATATAAACTTGTTGTTTCAGACTAAATCTTTCTGGAGTACAGTGACAGAATAACAGAAAGACTAACAGCAGGTATTGGTTAGAAATGCCTGATACTTTTCATTTCAACCATTAGACTTAAATTTTGCTTGTATTTAGTTCTGCAGATTATTAGGTGTAGAATATTTTAAACTTGGTCTGTTTTAAAGTTTGGACAAGGCTCTCCAAACGTGAAGGTCTTTTTGTCCTGACATGCTGAAGCTGCCAGTGCTGCTCCAGAAGAAATGCCTCCTAAACCCATAAAATCTGCTTCAAGTTAAGCAGCAGTTTATAACTCATAAAGATAATCTTCCTGTGAGTGTGAGTGTCAAAAGCATATATACTGCATAACCAAGCTGTATAAAATAAGAATGATTGCATGTAATTTTCGCCTACTTACATTTTGTTCTTGAATAAAACTTTTCGACTTGAGGCAGCAGCTTTAGGCCTTCATGGATGGAACGAGGCTCAGTGTGTGTGCAAGACAGGAGCTGACTGCTGTTTGTCATTTGAGCCAAAGCTCAATGCACTTCTTGAGGACAAAGCCTGCACATAAACAAGTGAGCGCGTGAAAACCAAGCGTCTACACACTGCATGGCCCAACACTGCCTGAAGCCTTTTCCCCCTTTGTCAGCTGTTCCAATTAAATTACCCTCAAGTGCAAAGTCACTGAATAATGAATGACCCACGTTTTATCTCTGCAGCATTTACCTTTCTGCTTTAACTTTATATCTTCTTTGCACTGCAATTAAATGGTATTTTGATCTGAACAATAGCATCAGAGAGAGTTTTGTGATGCTGCAATAGCAGCATCACAATAAATGCTTCCTTTCGCAATGACATCCCATTAAAAGTATTTTACTATTCATTCTATTCTTTGTCCAGAATGATTAAAATTTTTTGTCGTGTTTTCAGTTAAATAAGCGTTGATTTTTAGTTCACATGAAAGAACTTATGTTAGATTTAATCTAATTTACAGAACTTATTTTAAATCCAACTAAGTCTTCCAGGATGCACCAGAATTACTACCAAGTAAAGACGAGTAAAGTTTTACCTTTTCTGACTTTAGTGAGTTAGATTTCACTATTAATTATGCATAATTAAACTGTAACACAAACCTATGAGTACGTTATGTATGAGTGTCATACAATGCCCTTCAAAACATGCCTTAAAAATCAACATGGATGATCTCAGGCTGAATAACTTAGAAAAATAGTTTGCCTGAAGTCACACAATATGGGAAGGGAATATAATTCAGAAATTCACATTATTTTATCATTTCTACTTTACATGTTTTTTAGTCTGATCATTGAAGAATCTTTAGTTAGTAAGTCATGCATTTTTATGATGTGACACATTTCTGTTTACCACCCTGCAAAGTGATGCAGACCGGAGAACAAACCATGTGGTGTCAGATGGATAGATGTATGTTGATCTTCAAAAGTTAGGAAATGGATAAAGGACAATTCTTAAACCAGTCTAATGAATTAAACTCGTCTGAATCAACTAATCTGTTTTCTCAGCATGAAGACAATATGTGGAAAACTTCAAATAATTGTTTTAATATTTTTGTGCATGTAGCATGAGGCATTACTCTGACACTCTTTATTAGAAAATTATATATTTACTTAAAAGACTTGGGACCTAAAAGGAAAGGCTATTAAATAGAAAAATTGTCCTAGTGGACTTTCTTTGAGAGTATTTCCATGGAAACTCATCCAGCTTCTTCAAGGACAACTGTCCTGTTCGTTGTTTTGGTGACTGTGAGACTTGTGAGTTCTGTCACTTTGAACTGGCATTAGTAATTGCAGCATAAGTGTGCTTGTCTTCAGTCAATAATCACTTTAAAGAACTCCTCATTGCTCTCTATCCGCAGCACCCTTTTGTGAAGACGGTGACCTCCAACCGTCCACTGATGGAGCTGGTGGCTGAGGCCAAAGCTGAGGTCATGGAGGAAATCGAGGACAATAGAGAGGAAGGAGAGGATGACGACACAATGGATCTCATTGAGGTGCCATACTTCTGTTCTGTCATTTTACTCTTTGCCAGTCTTTTATTTACAAAACAAGAAGTGAGGAGAGTTTCCTCGAAGCATTTATCCAATAGTGTATAAATGAGATTTAGGTAACATTTTCTGCAACAACACAGCTATTGTTTTTTCTTCATGCTGACTTTTAGGCTTACGCTGACACAAAGTGAACATGATTACTTGCACATTTCCCCCAAAAGCCCAGAGATTGTGCTTCAGACTTTACTGGTTATCCCAGTCAAGCAGCATTTTTTCTCCCTAGGCTGATGGGTTTTCTTTAGTTTTGCTCAGACTGGTCAGAGATCCATAGAGGACAGAAGATTAGAAAGTTAGAGTAGAAGAAGGCGGTCAGCACAAACAAAGGAACAGAAGCCGGAATGCTGGCATTCCCGCACACCCAGATGTGTTTAAATATAGGCGCCTGCTTTTAACCTTGATTCTGTATGGAAAATACTGTTGTCACCACTCCAGATGAAGTAAATTTATGTAAGGGTTCTCATTGTTTTGATGCCATCCTGACCTTTAAATAAACCAGTTTCCAGGCCTCTAAAGAGTCCATTGGCCAGTTTGTCTCCAGGGAACAAATGTTTTCCTTTTTTGGATGTTTTTGCACTACTAAAGTAAAATGCTTACAAAAGTTGTCTTGTGTTGTGATCGAGCTCATTCCCTGCCTCCTGTTTTAAAAGTAGATGCTTAAAACCAGACAGAAAATAGTTTGAAATGGTGCCTCACACCTTCTTCTGACTGTCTTCCTACTGTAACAACTTCCACCCTGAAGACGGGTTTTGGTTAACTCAACTGTTTTTGGTTTATTGTGGTGAATTAAATTATTGAATAATTTAATAAACAGTAATAGGTATTAATACAATACTTAGACAAATATTCAATGATCTTATAAATGCCCTGAATTTCAAATAGTGTTAATTTATATTCTGCTTCATGCAAAACAAAGAAGGTGATTATCTAGAATAACATCCTAGGTAACAATTACTGTAAGAACTCTTTTTCTATTTAGTGCATTCAGGAGAGATTAGATGGCCATTTCTGCCGCAGGTAAAGTGAGCATGAAGGAGGAAGGCCAGCATTCCTTTTAGCCAAAGGTTCAGTTCAATTGACTAGATGTAGGAAGTATGAATAACTTCATCCATTAGCATTTGGACTAGAAGCAAAGGTTGAAAACATTAACATTTAGGAACTTAAATCCTAAAACAACATGAATGATTCGTATCACGGATGTATAACAATGCCTCTCTGTGTCCTTCAGCCACCAGAGAAGGAGCCATGCCAGACGAGTCAGACCAGTTTGGATGAAGATCAGTCGACGGACACTCCAAGCCCCACCACACCCTCACCTGTACCTTTACCCAGGAGATTGGCTCGGCCCGGCATGCCAACAGAGGAGCACCAAGCCTCAGTGCCTGTCCCCATGCCACGCTTCGCCGTCTCTCACAAAGATCCAAAGGAGGTGGGGGCCCAGCTGGCTGATGAGGTGCTGGAGTCTGAGAAAGCTGAGAGCGAGGCCTCAACAAAGACCTCCAGCTCAGACTCTGGCATTGAGGATGGAAAGATTACCCCCACAATGGAGGAGGAGAAGGTGCTCAGCAAAATCCGTTTCATTTTCTGTAGTTTGTTCAAGCATTTTAAGATGAAGTTTGATTTAATAACAACTGTTAATTCCCCAGGCGGCTTTAGAGACACCAGATAATGAACAGCCACCCCCATTTGAGTCGACTACAGAAAAACTTGACAATATGATCAACCAGGACATACCAAGGGTCCATATATCTGAGGGAGGGATGACTGGCAGCAGAGACTCACCCACTCCAAGCTCGAGTCCCAACATGACTCCTGGGTCCACTCCCACCCCATCCTTTGCTGTTTCCCCGGTACCACAGCCTCACGATGCTCTGAACGACACAATAAGCAAAGGAATGGCAAATCGTCCGTCGATGGGACGGAACGCGGAGCCGGCCTCGCCGCAAGCCAACGGAAGGAATCACAAACGAAACTCGTTAACGGGCAGCATAGGATCGGACAGCATGTCGATTAAACAGGAGAACTTCACCATACCTGCAAGGGTGAGTGAAACTTAAAACATAAGCAATAATATGTTTCACATATCTTATCTGGAAAGCAGCTTATATTAGCAAGGCTGATTGCCTGCATCACTAAAAATCAATTCCCAAACCTGCCAATTTCTCAGAGAACCTTTTACTTTTAGAGAAGATGAGAAATACTGTAGACATAATAGATTGAATGAAACACAACCTGCTTTAGAGCTGTGTGTTTACTCTGACCTGTATTTAGGAGTCGAGGCTTACAGAGGGATCTCAGTGCCTCTGTAGGAAAACTCCACCTTGGAAAAACTTCTTCTCAGTTCCTGAAACAGTGCTCTGTTGTGTTTTGGGCGAGGGTGTTAACTGTCTGACACAGCAGATAGTCTGTCTCCCATCGGGTTTACATCACATGTTACACCTCACCAACATGGGTCCAGATTGAAGCTTCACTTACAGTCTGTCAAAAGTGAAGTGATTTCATCTCAACTATGAGCCATTGACAGCCCAAAGAGATGGAAGCTACTGAACTAGAAGCTGGTGAAGCCAAGTATCTGTATAACACATTCATTCACAGTCATCAGGAACCAATGGTGCCCTTTGTGTAGGCACAGTCCCACATTCACTATTGTGAGTGGAAGTTTCTATGGAGCTCATTGTCACATAGTTGTTTCTGGAGGCTAACTGACACACAGATTCAAAGTCTACTGTCTGCATAACTTATTTTCCAGACCAGAATATTAATGCCATAGAAGTAATGACGGCGTCCAGGCATCTGGAGGCGTTCATGTTTTGGAAATGGAGAAAGTCAACAGTGATTGAAAATGTGCTCCACACATTACCTGATTGTTATTCTTTTATCTTTTGCTTTTTATAATATGAAATTAATTCTCATTAGAAAAGGAATAAACTCAAGAGACGGATACAAAGCGGGGTTTCTAGCTGTTATTTGTTGCTGGAGGCTCAGCTGCTGGTTCACTGTAGATGCAACGAAGCTTTCCGTCCTGCTCTGCTCTGAGTTTTAAACTGTTACCCGGAAAGTATTGTGCAAGAAAAACTTCAGTTGTTGCTCATTTCTTAAGACCTTTAGTTTCTTTTCTTTTTTTAACTTGATGTCATACAGTGATGGAGGAATTCAAAAATAAAATAAAATTAACCAAAGTAAGAAGAAGAGTTGGACGTGGATTTGTTCTGCTGGATTGTAACGTAAAAAGCCTCAAAGCAACTTGATGTTATATTGCGGTGGTATCAAGTACATTTATTCACCTTATTGTTTTCCAAAGAGTTTGTGACTATACTTCCTCTAATGAAGTTCCAACGGCATCACAGAGCCTCTGACATACTGTTGTACAAGATTTTATTGCACCCTGAAATATTCATCTATTTTAATCATTTAATATACATCTGTAGAAGTTCAGTGAGATTCAACATAGGCAACACATTCTTAGTTTTTCTGTCAACTCATGAGGTGTGGTTGAACCGAAACCCGGATTGTTTTTTTTTTTATGTTGAACAATGTCATTTGATTAATGTTGCTGTTCTCTTATGTCTTTTAGAAAGGGTAATTTAGTTTTAGCAAGAGACTCTACATTTTAATTTAAACACAGACTAAGAAAAAAACCGTTTTGCTTTCAGTAGATGAGACCTTTTTATCTTTAGTTTCTTCCTGCATTGTTGACAGATTGAGAGTCTGGCAGCTTGTTGTAGAAGAACCCGACCAACAGGAACTTTAACGGCGCTTTTGTTGTCGCACACACACCGAACACACACAGTAAACACTTTAGACACATTGAGAAGATTAAACTGACCTGAAAGAGGTTTGTGTTTGTTGTTTTTAATTAGCTTGAAGAAAATTGCATCAGATTTATTGGATTAAGTATAATTCAAAGGAATCCTCCTCACTTTGACTTTTTTCACATGCCTGTTTTTCACCATGAAGACACACAATGCATTGTTTTTAAAGATAATGTTACGATTACACACACAGAGTCTATGTTATTTTAAATAAAATGTGTTTTTAGTGTCTTCAGTTGAGAAAACAGTTTAAGTTGAGAGCTGTCAGTATTTCAGAAAAGTTTAATGTAAAATAAATAAAATACAAAGGAGGCTGGTTTTTCAGGAAATTATGGAATTATCAAGTTATGTTGGAAAACTCAATAATGACTCCATTTTTTGTTTACTGGTAGTTATCCATTGTTTTATTCAAAATCAGTTTGATTGCAAACTCAAATTTAGTTTCATACCAAAGCAAATTAAGTCATCAATGATACAAAATCACAGCTCATGATGTTGCAAAAGTATTTTATGGATCTGTCAGAATTATTGTTATCACTAAAAAACTGCAGGCAGAAATAAAAAATCGTCCAACATACTCAGGTCTATAAATTCCCATTTCTATCCTCCATCAGGACTTTTCCAGTAAGACTCTAAAGCGAACCAGAAAGTTTGTTGTGGATGGCGTGGAGCTGAACGTGACCACCTCAAAGATCATCCGGGACGATGACAAGAAAGATGAGGAGATGAGATTTCTGAGGTAAACACATTTTTATGTGTCCATGTTCAGCACTTCTATAAATGAAAAGACCGAGGTCCTGCTGCTCTGAAAGTAGATTTTGAGTGCATTCATTTTTGAGCATGTGGATCGCTCTTTGATAACTGAATTTAAATGTTGCTTCTTATTTTGTTTTCAGTTTGAAAACATTTTAGCTTGAAATGTGAGCATGTATTCACCTCTGGATAAAGCTTTGTGGGTTTTCTGTTTAATGAATCTTTGACACAGTAGTGCCATCTAGTGTTCATTACACAAAACTGCATCTGAGTGTAGTCCATATCTGTTTAGGACTTTAAAAAAAGAACAACTCACGTAAAGACAATGCACTGTCATGTTTTGTTTGTCTTCATTTTTTCAACTTGATCTCAAAGGTTTATTTAAATTTTTGCATTGACTTTTTGATACATATTCTGTTTTGTGTGTCTGCGTGTGTGTTTAGGCGTCAGGAGCTGCGTGAGCTCCGTTTGCTGCAGAAGGAAGAGCAACGCGCTCTGGCTGTTCTCAACGGAAAGCTGGACTCCCAGAGGGAGCAAATCCAGAAACGCTTTGACCAGGAAATACATGTGAGTTTATATAGTGGACTCCAACCTGGCACAGAATCTTCTCTGGAAAAATCATTTTGAAGGCCACGTGTTAAATTAGTTGATCAGAAATCAACTGTAAAAAGATAGACTTTTTACAGCTATCTTTTATTGAACAGAAAGTAACACCATTTAGCATAAATATAACAGATGGAAAATGATACATGGTTTTCTAATTATTTCACAAATACAAATCTGAAAAGTAAAAACAAAAGTTTAGAGAAGGGTTCCATTTTAAAATATTCCAAGTTTTGTGAATCTCATAAATCAATGTGCAGTCCATCTTCTGAAAAGAGTTGAAAGTGCAAACCCAGCTTTAGGCTGACAGACTGACCCCTTGAACAAAGCATGGTGGTGGCAGCATCATGGTTAGGAAACACTCTTCTTGAGCAGGGACAGGCTGCTCAGAGTTGAACATAAATGGAGTGAAACACTGGACCGCCTTATAAGAAGCCTTCAGAGTTTTGGAAAACACGTGAGACACTGATCTACTGTGAGTCCCCAGATACGTCCTACTTCATCTGACAGACTTTAAACTATTTTCATAAAGCAAGATTTTGACCTCTGCATGAATGAAGTCACACCAATAGGTGATTCTAAAAAGCATTAACACACAGGCACTGAGTGCAAATACTTGGTACAGTTTACAGCTGCCTGTTGGTCTATGACAGAAAAAAAAAAAAAAAAAACATTGATTCTGACTTTTTCATGAAACAGAAATTTGAAAAGCTCAGACAGAATGAACTCTTTTCCTGGGTGCTGTAGCTCTGTCAGTATTTTTTAAGTGTTTGTCTCCTTTTGGTACATATCAGGCCAAGAAGAAGCATTTTGATACAGAGCTGGAGAATCTGGAGAAACATCAGAAGCAAACTATTGAGAAGATGGAGACAGAACACAGCGCTAAACTCAAGGAAGAAACCAAACGCATCAAAGCAGAGCAAGACCGAGAATATCACAAATTCATGGATCAAATAAAACAGAAGAAGAAGGAGGTATGATTCAACTCCACATTCCTGTTTTTAGTTATTTCACTGTATAAAATTCATGCTTTAATGTGGAGCAGTGAAATACATAAAACCTGGAGCGTTGAGCCTCTGGATGATTTCTGAATGGAAGTCTGTATTGCTCAGGTTAAACATTCGGTAGAGAAGATGCCTCGGAGTGAACGTAAAGACACCTTAAAGCAGCGCATGAGCTTCTTCCAGGAAACAAAGATGAAACAGGCAAGCTGAAAGATCCCAACATGTTTGCTCAATTTGTTTGAAAGGCTTTATAACTGTCAAACTTACCTTTTTTGATGTTTTTTTTTTTTTTAGGAGGAGAAATTTGTGGCGGACCAGAAGAACTTCCTAGATTCAACACTGAAAATGATTCTTTCCAACAACAAGAGGGAGATCGCAGAAACTGAGAGAGAATGTCTCAACAAGAAGCAAGAGCTCATCAGAGGTACAGTAAACTGCTAACACTAGTGAAGCCAAAGTCCTCTGCATTTTGGACAAATTAGCATGATGATTATGTTATGATTAGAGCGAGAGGCCACATTATGGGACATGGAGGAGAAAAACCTCTTAGACAAACACCAGCTATTGAAGCAGCAAATGAAAGACCAGTACTTTCTTCAGAGGCATCTACTCTTAAAGAAACACGAAAAGGTTAGTGGACTGGATGTATTACCACCTACCATCACATGTACTGTTAAAAGAGGGGGCTCACTTTTTGGTACATTTTTCAAGTCTGGGTAAATGTTTTCTGTCTTCAGGAACAAGAACAAATGCAGTCGTACAACCAGCGCATGATTGAGCTGCTGAAGAACAGGCAGCAGCAGGAGAAAACCCGGCTGCCAAAAATCCAGCGTAATGAGGCAAAGACTCGCATGACAATGTTCAAGAAGAGTCTGCGCATCAATTCGACAGGCAGCGCCTCAGAGGACAGAGAAAAGGTCAAGCAGGTTGGTCTATCTCTGCCGGCCTTTTTGTCCAACAAAACGTTTATGAGTTGTATTGTTAGTGACCCACACATTTCCCACTCGCGTGGCTGTTCAGTTTTCTCAGCAGGAGCAGAAGCGGCAGAAAGCAGAGAGGCAGCATCAGCAGCAAAAACACGAGAACCAGCTGAAGGAGATGATGGGCCAGTGCGAAAGCAACATCAGGGAGCTGCAGCAGCTGCAGGTGGATAATGGCTCCCTCTCCTCGGATTGTTTTTTTTTTTTCATGCAAATCTTTTGGGATCTGTCATGGATATTTTTATTCCAGTTTCAACTGTGTGCCTTTTACAAACTAACAATCTTTTCCGTCTTTCAGAATGAAAAGTGCCACATGCTGATTGAGAATGAGACTCAGAGGCTGAAGCATCTGGATGAGCAGCATGCACAGCATATGAAGGAGTGGAGGGAGCAGCTGAGAGTCAGGAAGAAGGTGAGTGCTTCCCATTTTATCTCTTCGTTAAGTCATCTTTGTTGCTCTAAACAGCAGAATGCTTGAGTAGTTAAAGAGTTTTCATTTTTGGAGACATTCTGACATAGTTCACTCTGTATTTCAACTTTGTAGGAAATTGAGGATGAGCTGAGCGCAAAGAAGAGGGACCAGGAAGCTTTCTTTATGATGAAAGAGAGCGTAGACAATTCAAACCCCAGCTCTCCCCACAAACTCTCCAAGTTTGTGCCTTACTTGGACTCGTCCAGCATATGAACAGACCTGCGGTGACGTTGCATCTACCTGAGTTCAACACACAGAAACTGCACAGGAGTGTGTTCCAGATGCCTGCTGCCTCTGGTTTCATTTGCTTTATTAGGAGGAACAAAACCCAAAACTTTCCATGGATTTCTATGTTGCTTTAGTAAATATTTATGTTCTAGCTAATTTTTTGTAGCTAATTTTTATTTTATCTTGAGTTATTTTACATATATTCAATTATGTCTCCATATATAATTGAATGGAAAAATGCCAAATTTTCAGTTTTTAACTGCATCTAAAAAAAAAAATGAAATAAAAAAGCACCCTTCATGTTTAACGTTCCCAAACCAGGGAAGTTTGCGTGAGTGGAAGGAATGCATTCAGCCCTGGGAAATTAGTAACTAATCAAAATAATTTTCAGTCTAACTTTGGTTTTATATGTATAATTCTTCCCAGCTGTTTGGACTGTTCTAAAGCTTAACCTCTTGTTTTTGTCACATAGCTGCCAATGCCTTATTTATTTTTGTACTGATAAAAGTCATGATCTTAATTAACACTGTACGTTGAAAGTTTTTGTATAATTTCTGATTAACAACCATGATTTGAAGGAGGGCTTTAAATTAATTTCTCAAGTGGGATATGAATCCAAAGTTATTTGAATTGAACCATTTTTTATTTTAAAAAAGAACATATAGATTATTATTTAGCTCAGTTATCAAACAAGGGAAGGCATAATATGTATCAGATAGTGTTGCTTATTTTCTTTAACTTGCTGTATAACTAGTTACACTGGATGGGAACTGACAAAACCGAAGTAAAATATGTTTTTTATTATTATTTTGCATGAGTGATTTAAATGTTAGGTGTGCAATTATATCCAGTGCAGTTAATGAACTGCTTCTAACCAATGTGCAATACTGTGTGGATGCCGCTTAGTTTTTTTTTCCTTTGCACTAAGAGGAGGAATAATATAAAAAAGCTAATTCCTAAGATAGCTTTTCCAGCCTTTTGCTAAAAAATAATAAATGAGTGTAAAAATAGATTTTGGCCTGCAGGATTGCACTGAATCAGGTACAGCTTAACTGCTCTCTCTTTAATTAAAATTGGTGATTTCCATTTCTTCATCTATGTATTTCTTGGTTTACATAATGTTATTTGTATGAAAGGGGTTGTGAGTACATATGAAAATTATGAGATGGAACCACTGGTGTAAATAACTCAATAAATTTTTTTTAAAAAAAGAAAAAAAGTTTAAGTGTTGATTTGTTCTTTTTTGTCAAAGCATATGGAAGGAAAGCAAAATATTTATTTACTCCAAGTGAACCATTTATGTTACAAAATTGACTTTTTACATTACAACACTCTGCAAGCCAAGATAAAAATGTTCCTAACTCAGTAAAAAAAAGAGTAAAGGATCAAGTGGAACAGTGAATTCAGACCACATTCCAAGTTGAATTTTTTTATTGACTGAAACATAAAAGTAGAGACAGTGTAATGCAAAATACATAGAAAAAGAAATACAATACTGAAATATGGGGGACCATCAATGACCATTCTGCCCTCCTTTGGCCACATACCACCTTTAACATTATAGGTATCATTTTGAAATGTTTATTTGGATGACAGACTGTCAGTGCTGTAAATATGGTTTGAATTTGAGCAACTAGAAGCAGAACATAAGTAGTGTTACAACTTGTAGCCTTGTCTGCAAACATTTTGTTACTTTATTGAACCATTTCTTGTAAAAGTAGCAGCCAGTTTGTGATAAAGCAAATTAGTTTTTATTTTAACCACTGAATTATACCATTTGTAACATTAAAGCAAATTTCAGTATTTTGAAATTGCACACCGAAAAGAGAACAAGGACCATTAAAAAAAAAAAAAACTGCGAAAGTATGACATCACTGTACAATAAAAATAATTTGCTCTGCTGACCTTTGCTTGAAACCAGTCAAGCATGTAAAATATTATGTTTATACAATGGTCATTTTTTTAATTTGAGCACCAAACATGTAAATTTACACCAAACATGTAAATGTACAGGAAAAGCCTGTACATTTACAACAATGTAAATCATTGCACAAACCAATGGAAATCTTCAATTTTTTATGGGCAGAATGTTCTGCATTTCACATTGTACACCTTTTACGTTTGGCTGAAAGATAAGTTATATTAAAAATGTTTTCTGACACAAAGCTTCCTACCAATCTCTTACTTTGGGATACTATGTTTACATATAGAGGATTGGAGTAACTACTTTGTAACAGTGAGCTAAAAAAAAGAGAGGCCAGAAACAAAGCTGGTGTAACGTTAAAAGTTGTTCTCTCCGCACTGAAACTGTGCAAAACTTGAACTTGCTTGAACTGAGAGAAGCTAAACATCTGCTACAAATCACAACAATCATCACTGATTCAGTCAACAATAAAAGAACGCTAATACAGGTGCATCCTAGTAAACTGAAGTAACATCAGCAGCTTGATGTTTTTTTAATAAGTCCACATAAAACACATGAAATATAGAAATTACACACTGGGTGATATATTCCAATTTTTTATTTTGTTAAAGTTAATCAAAACCCAAAATCAAGCCTTTCAGACTTCAGTCTAGGACAGGGCACAATACTGGTAAAACAGGATTTTAATTCGGAAATATTTGTTCTGTCCAGTATTGAATAGAACATGTATTCAGGAACCTAGTAAACTGGATTCTTGGATTCTTAGGCAAGAATTTTAGCATGAAATTATGTAAAATGTGGTATACTGGCTTTGACAATTTACTCCCTAGACCCATAGAAATAGAGAGCTTTCTAGATTCTCTATGCCACAGGCGTCAAACTCCAGTCCTCAAGGTATCCTGCGGTTTTTAGATGTGCCACAGGTACAAAACGGTGGAATGAAATGGCTTAATTACCTCCTTGTGTAGATCAGTTCTCCAGAGTCCTGCTAATGACCTAATTAGTCCACCAGAGGCACATCTAAAAGTTGCAGGACATTGACCCTCCAGGACTGGAGTTTGACACCCCTGCTCTATGGGGTTCTGGTCTGATAAGTTTGCTGTCCATTGAGACATATTGGTCATGGTCCTATTGGCAGTGTCAGCAGTTGTCATCTCCTCATCTACAAAACACTGTCTGCAGAAGAGTAAAAGTTTCTGGCAGACGGTGCATTGACTGTAGGCTTGATGAGCCACGAGGAACCAACAGTAGATAAAACGGTTCTATAAATGATCACTGAATATGAAAAAAATCACACTGGACCTCAAGAATCTTTAGTTTTCCTCCAGTCTCTGGGCCCACAATCGAAATTGATTTCACTTTCTATGTCTCTATTTCTGCTATGACTTAAAACAAGAAATGCAACAGTTTTAAGCCTGGTGGCTTTTGAAGCATTGGCTCTCTGCAGCCCAGTCGATTTCTTTTAAAACCTGCAATTATTTGTGTGGCCAGTGTACCTTCTTTTTTTAACAACACTTTTTCTTTCCACTCAACTTTCTATGAATGCACTTAGACAAAGCACTTTGAACATCTGCCTTTTTATAAGCAAAGCCTTTCTGAGTTTGTCAGTGAAATGTGCAGGACATAAGGTAATGAATTTACATAAAATATGAGCTTCCTCTTGATCTGAAATTAGAAACATTTAGATTTTTCTGTTATTGGGATGTACCTGAATGTAAGTTTTTAAAATTACAAACATTAATACTTGGCAAAGATATATTTCAAAGAAAAACGTTAACCATACATGAAAGCTCAGATAAAATTAGTGAATTTCCCTACTTCACTCATGAAATACTTAAGTTATTTAGGATCCATTTTTTTCCTGCTGCAGAATAGAAACTGGCAAGATATGAACACCTACTAAGCCTACAGCTGCATATACTTTGTAAGCACTGAAGCCTATACTTTGCATATATTTTGAGGCACTGCATCCTTAAAGGCATGGCTGCTAACGCACCCGTAAATCAGGCACACCCTGTAACTCAGGCTAAATGCCGTCCCAGTTTTCCGCCCAAGTTAGGGAACATGATACAGAGGCTGTGATTGACACGTAGCCATCAAAAGCGAGTATGAATATCTAGATAAAAATAAAAAGTAAACATCATGAAACCTCCACAAAAAAGGGTCTATTATTGCTGGTTCGATTGGCTGAATATTATTAAAGTATTTATAAAAAAAAATGTACCTATAAATAAAATAAGTTGAGAAGTGGCAGAAAGATTGCTTTTCTTTACATTTACACCAATGGTGTATTATTTTGTTCTTTTCTGGATACATTTCAATGAATCATAAAACCTACGGCTTTTTGCTCAGGTAGTTTGAGGGGATCCAGCCCTCAACATCTTCGCCTACATTTTTACAGAACCACCAACCGCTGCTGTTTTTCTCCAGAACTTCAAACACCGTCCCCACCTTGAAGCTGGACGTTTGCTCATCCCCTTCAAAGTCCGCCACTGCTAGATAGAGCTCATCCTTACTGGACTCCTTGAGTAACGGCGGAAGCTTGTCCTTGGGTGGTCCGGACTTTTCATGTTTCATCTGGGGCTTGGGAGGAATGGGAGCTTTATTCCCCTTGAGGTCGTCTTTCTCTTTGCTTGAAGGTGGTTGAACAAATGCTTTGGGCTTTGGGGGTGGGGGCCTGCTGAGCTGTGGTGGTGGTCCAGGCTTGGGAGTCTCTTGCGGTTCTCTCAGAGAAGGAGGCTTGTTTTCGGTTGGGCTGGATGGATCGGTCTTCTTTGGAGGAGGAGGTCTTTTTGGAGCCAAGGCAGGAGGTCTCTGAGGAGGCTCCTTGTGTGGGGGCACTGCTGGTTTTGGAGGAGGGGATGATTTCTCCTGGCTAAGACCATTTATGTGTTTGGGAGGGAGTTTTGGCTCATCAGAGGACTTGCTGTTATTGAGCACAGGGATGTGGATGGGTGAAGAGCTGGAGGGTGAGCTGCTTCCTGCTGCTGAAGGATCATTCTGATGGTTTCCCTCAAGAGATGGAGAGCCAACATCCGCAGCTTTTGATGGCCTCAACTTGCTCCTTAAGTTGGTGATGTCCACTTTGTTTTCTGCAGGTGGATCAGGTTTGGCAACTGGGACAGGCTTCGGTCTGACCACCGGCTTACCCTTCATAAAGGCTGCAGGTCCTGCAGGCTCTGATTTCTCTTCCCGGTTCTCTGCCTTCGGTTTTGGTGGCTGTTTGGGAACAGGTTTCAGATTAAATTTCTTCACCTCTTTAGCAGAGACTTTGTGGCCACACTCAAGACCCATTTCATTGCGAAGAGGAAGAGCTTTGCTCTTGTCTTCCTTTTTGATCTCTGGTGGCTTCTCTGGCTTGATCTCTGGTGGCACTCTGGATTTTGGGGTAACAAGAGGCATGATGACTCCAGGTGCTGGTGGTTTTGGTGGCAACGGCTTGCAATGATCAGGCTTTGGCTTCTCAGCCGTCTCCAACTCAAAGCTTTTATTAATAGACTCCCGTCGAGGAGGCAGAGCTGGTTTCTCTTCTGCTGGAGGGGCAGCTGGGGCTGGAGGCAGAGGCCCAGCGAAGGCCGGAGTCGTCTTGTTGGCACTGGACTTCCAGTCTCTCAGCTTTGGGCGGGCAAAGGAGTCGGAGGCTGTGGTCGGCTCATCTGGTAAAGGCTTAGACCAGGTGTCATCATTGGCACCACCATCCTCAAGCCTGAGTTTCTCCATCTCATTGGGTAATGGAGCAAGAAAATTGGGTCGCAGGGCATTACTAGTCTTCTTGTACTTGTCGATGAAAGTGGCTGGGGCCCAGCCTTCTTTCTCATCTATCTGGATGTACCACCAACCACTTGTATTCTTCTCAACCACCTATTAGGAAAAATGGTTCATGATTCAATCAAACTTTTAAAGTTTATAATATTGCAAATTAACTCAGAGAGGCTTTGGTCAGACCCACCTCAACTTTGACCCCTGCTTGAAAGCTAATCCCATCTGGAATGGTAGTCTGAAAGTCAGCTATGGTGTAATACTCTTCCTCGACTTTTGGTGGAACGGGTGGCTTAGGTAAGTTTGCACCACGTGGCTGTGGAATAGAAGAAACATACAAAAAGATTAGGCTGTTAAACTTATGGATTCTACGAGTTTCTGACATCAAAATGTTAAATCTTACAATGGTTAGATCTCTGCGTGGAGGAAGTCCATGTCTTGATCCTACTTCTGTGAAGAGAAAAGATGTAGAATAAGGATATATGTATGTAAGAGGCAACAGAATTACACTATGCTAAACAAAATAAAACCACACACATGCACACAAAATATTTTTTTATTGTAATTTGTAAGGTGATTAAATGTGTAGGATGTTTTGAACCTACTTACTAATTTTGTTGTTATCAGAGAAAATAGAGAGCCTGTTTTCCTTCTGGTTGTCTCTTGACACATTGTTCTGCAGGTTCTGTTTGGAAACCCCTTCCAGGTCATTTGTACTGGCATGAGCTGCAGTGCCTGCTGATTGCCTTTGGCTTTGAATATCAGACTTTTTCAGGTAGGAGGCTGGAGCCCAGCCCTCGCGGCCTTGGTACCTGGATTGGAGAAACGTATACACTCAGTGGCATTAAATGAGACACATTTCTATTAAACTTAACAATTTGAGAATAAATCAGCAGTACACCATAAGCTTTTTTTAAAATGTAACTTACAAAAAGATATAATCTTTTGAAAAAAATTTATTGTTAGTCACGTACGGTATGCTAATTTTTGATTTTAGATCTTAAATTTTCAACTGATGATTCTACAGCTTGTGTTTTCAAAGTCAAATCATTTATTCAATAATTTTCATGTATGATGAATGATGATTTCATGTCATCATCATTCTCATCATAAAATAATTACATTAATTATCTATGCATTACATGTACATGAACATCATGTTCTGAATTTATTTACAGAGTGGTTTCTACATTTCTGGATGTGAACATTAGTTAATGTTTATGTTGACTTGCAGGAATCAAAGTGGTTTGATTACCTGATCTTCCACCAGCCTTCCAAGTTCTTCTGAATAACTTCGACAATCATGCCTCTTTCCAGGTCGATCTCATCCTGATCCCTGGCCGAGTATGGGTAAATCACAGAGTACTTTTCTTCTGTTGGAATAAAAGCACATAGTGTTACATGTAAGAACACAATACTATTTGTGGACTAAATATGCAGTATCAAATAAAACAAGAAAACATAACGTTAAACCATCTCTGATATTTCTGTTACTGTGAAATTGATGGACTTATTTCTAAATTCTTAAAACCTGACTTTAATTATGAGAAGACCAAAAGGCCCTTCCTGATAAAAATGTTAATTTAAGTAAAGAATCTACAATCTCCAATCAATGTGATGAGGCAAGGCATGAGGAGCATCTTGAAAAAGGACAAAAAAGAAAAACTTACAAATACACAACACGCAAAACAGACACAGATATTCCACAATTACTAACTACACTACAGGACAAACTGAGGAGCAACAATCAGGTTAACTTTAATTATAAGTAATTACTAATCTACTAAAAATCAAGTTGTTATCAGTGGTTCTTACTATTGATTAATATAAGTACATTTTTAAAATATGGCTTTCAGTTATGAACAAACATGCATGAATTTAATTTGCATGCCAGGGTCACTCATGCAACACACATGCATTCACAAGAACAATAATGGTTGAGCAGGCAGAACGCGCACACACACACACACACACACACACACACACACACACACACACACACACACACACACACACACACACACACACACACACACCACCACACACACACACACACACACACACACACACACACACACGCCAACATTCAGTTAAAAAAAGGGAGGAGGAGGGGTTGAAAGAAAGGCGTGCGCTCCACCTTGCCCACAGCCTGTGCTGAACAGATCCCCTAAAGTTCTGCGCCGACCCACATGCCTTGGCAGTGACCAGAACCTCCGAGGCACTGACATCCCAGCACGGTAAGTGGGGCAAAATAGGAAGTAAGCATTACAGATGGTTTGCGATCTGGATGATGTTTACATTTTAACTATAAGTATTATCAGTTCTGATAAATCTAGAGCAATGTTTCTCAAACTTTTTCAGGCCCAGGACCACTTATCCCATTTAACAAACACTCATGGACCACCGAATTTTAATTTCCCCTGCAATGACACAACATCATGAAAATATTAATCTCTTAACTCTTTGTATTTGTTCTTCCTAATATGAAGGGTAGTGCCATTTTGTAAACACGACTGGCCACAATAAAACCACAAATAAGTCATTTTGAGTTATTTACAGATTCTGAAAGTATGGACTCTAAGATTTTAACAAAAGAGGTCTTTACTACCAACGTTCTGTTCACCAGTAACCTCTTAGAGCTATTTGCAATTTAGAACCACGATAAAAGAAAAATCAACTTGTGTTGCATTGTCAAAAACAAGCATTTTCCTCCAGTCAGCATATAACCCAATAAATAAGTTATTTTATTTTAGGTTTTTTAGATGCAGTTAGTAAGTGTTGGGCACAGCTCTGTCCACGGTCTCGTCACCATAGGCCGAGATGTGCATGCCTGCAGCTTGCTATGCATCGTAAGTGTTCAAAAACTAAACTTCTGCAACTCACCCTGAGAAACTTTCCACTGGTGTCTTCAGGCTTATTTTTTGAGTGACAAGCCTTTGATAATCTAACTGTAGCGTTGCACTTTGAGCTCACATCATGGCAAGTAAATGGCTGTTTACATGCATGTAGTGGTCCACAAGTGGTCCGGGAAAACAGTTTGCGAAAGACTGATCTGGAGACTTTACTCATTTACTAACAAACTCTTCGTTTTATGCTTACAGATCTGGATTTTTATCCGTTCGTAAAAGTGGCAATATTAGATTGTGTTCCCCTGCTGACTTTTTTCTACAAATTTTTAAAAATGATTATTTCTACCAGATCTTAAATTCACTTTTTAAACCAAACAATAGCTATTTGGTCAGCAATGGGTGATAGCAACTCCTGATAAGTAAAGCATGATTTCGACAGTCAGAAAAAAATAAAGAAAAAAAACATGTGACTCCATGTGGAAATGATGCCGTTTAGCTTTTGAGGCTCCGAGTAAAATATAAAATCAGCATTCAGATATGAACTTTTATGTACCTTCTTCTCCTGGAATTGTGAAGTCATCAGGGTCATCCTGAGCCTCCAAGCAGGTGGCGGGAACCCAGCCCTGAGCATCTTCTGAGCTCACAAACCACCAGCCTAAATCAGCAGGAAACAAACACATTAACATGCAAATGCATTTCCTAGGACTAGGACTCCCAGTTCAAAAAGTTCACATTTAGCACTTTCTTTTTCTAACTACTGTTAGGAAAATAAATCCTAACAGTTGGAAATCATCATTTGAATTTCTTTCTTAAACCACAACCCACTTCCTCCATTATTAATTATTATTATTATTATGATCATTATGAGCAAAAAACTAGAAACCTTTGAACGATCAGCCGACAATGATGCTATATAAAACAATGGAGAATAGCACTTGCCAGATTCATTTTTCTCAATGACTTCCACTGTCTGACCAACATGCAGACTGATTTCGGTGCTCTCTTGTTTCTCATAGTCTGTTACTGCCACATACTGTTCGAGGAAGAGTGCGTCTGCAGAGGTGGGGTCTCCTATTGAAAGAGCAGAGAGTAACAGATTCATTTGATTTCTTCTCCTCTTTGCTCCTTTTAAAACAGGATATGCATGAAATCTCGACAAACTATAAAAAAGCCTTCGCTCAAAATCTCTTCTTCCCCAATATTTAGTAAAGTCAGCTAATACGCTATTAAAGAAAAGCCCTTGAACTTGTCAAGATAAGATTGCATCTCTGAGCTTTGGGGGTTTTGACATTTAAAGGTTTTCTCTGTCATTGACCAAATGCTATATTCCCTTTTCAAAATGTCAGATTAGAAATGCTTCACAAAAAAATTCTAAAAAGCCAAATATAACTGTCAGGTGAAGGTCTTATGAGAGAAAAAACTTTCAGGTAAAATGAGCGAAGGCTTATCTGTGGTATGGATATCTCCTTAGCATGAGATGGATGAAGAATGTGATTAGAAAGATACAGAGAGCAAAATACTGAGCCAACAGTGGAAGGGACATATGGAGGAGGACGGTGTGATTGGAAACAGTGTGGAAAGTTATTTTAATCATTTACATGGATATGATTTTAGTGAAGACAACCAAACACACACAAGACCCACCACCGATGTTAGCAACACATTAGCATCAGAAAAATCTACTTCCACAAACGAGCATTTGAAACTGGGAACAAGTGACGACTTAGACATATGAAATTCAAATAGAGACCAAATATTTATTTACAGCAAAACTGACAGCTGCTAACCCAGCTTAATACCGCAAACACATTTAATAATAATAATGTTTAAATGAAAAATTCAAAAGCAATAGCTTACAGTGTTTGATATTTTTTTAACTTCCCAAATGAATTTTGGTGTGTGAACGTTTACAGCAGTTGTTTATGAAGATTAGCTGAAAAAAGCCTACCATTTCAAAAGTGGACAATTTCAAAACTACTAAAAAAATGTCCATTATACCATTTCTAAATGTTTAAAATCCATCTAACACGATGCCACAAAAAGTCAGGTGGAGTTTTTTTATGTCTGAGCAAAAACTAGCAAAGCAAAATTATCTAAATAAAGGAATTTAGGTACTTTTGTTTAATTTTTGTGTAAATGATACTGTATTATTTTTAAAAAACAAGGTTATTGTACCTTTATTGTACTGTGAGAAAGGTAGGTAACTACATTTTTGTAGTTACCTAAACTTGCTATACTTGCCAATCGAAGCATAGCAAAGCTAAAATATTCATCTGGCATATCATAACCCATCACAAACATTAAAAACAGCCAAACAATGATGATTTTTTTTACAGTCTGTAACACAAAACAGGAAGACAATGGTTCTTTAAATCACTAAATACATGATTTATTTTTTTAGACACACAATGAAGCCCGATCCCTCAGCAGAGCCACATCCCACCTGCCCAGGCCTGGCAAGGAGAGGGGGAACACACCACTAGCAACCCACCGGGTTACACACACAGCACGGCAAAGCATGACAGTGTGTTTACTACCTCGCTTTAGGAAAGTAGTCGCTCTCTCCACAAACCCTGATGAAAAGGAAAATGAATGGAGAAGAAAACTGAAAAAAAATAACATGGATGCAACGTAAGAACAGTCGGTCATTGAGGGGATATAGAAAATGTGAAAAGATAGAGAAAACAGCATTCAAGATGGTTGCTTTGATACAAGAGCTTTCAACTGCAAAAAAAAAAGTTTAGATAGAAAATGTCTTGATGGAAAAGTTGTTTCAAAGAAGACAAATATTCCTAAACCTGTTTATATGAATGAAACTGTCACTAGGTGGTGCTAAAGTCAGTTCTGTTTACAATTCATTCCATAAACTATTTATATCCAAATACTATTTTACAAATACATTTACTTTTATTTATAATGAAATAAAATTGTTTATTATTCAATAATATAGGTTGATTTTTATTCCGTACACTTAAAACATGTAAGACATGTAAGCAAATAACACTGTCATAAAGGGGTCTTACCTGACTTCTTCTTTCCAATGGGCTCCCTGTTAAACAGAGACAATGCATTACTTAAAAAAGAAAATGAAATAACTTTACCAAAAGTATTTAATATCAAATTCATATGATGTCAAATGCTGTTGCTCTAAATTGTTTTATATTAAAGCTATTGTAGAGTAAACTGAATCCTGACATTTCTATTTTTGATGAAGTCAAGATACGGATGTTTAAAAACTAGACAAACAGATCAGACACAAGAATATAGTAATAAAATAGTTACTAGATTTATCTTAACTTGATGCAGCAGACACATTAGAGGACGTTTCCATCTACAACTCAGACCAACATGTTTAAAGATACACTTGAAAGATGAGCTCTAATATTTGGTTCGATGTTAAATTCAATACAGCATCAGCTGTGTCTGCTTTAGACGTTAGCCAGATAAACAGGGCATCACTCTGCAACAGCACTCAGGAGTTGATTCAGGGACCAGACAAATAGAAAAATCACTTCTGGCTTAAGCTTTGCATTTCTCTATTTGTCTACTTCATCTTTCTTATCTAAACATTGCTCCAGTGCTTTATTGCCTTCCATCATTTCAATTGTTCCTCTTTTTATTTTTCATGTCTGCCTCTCTTACACCGTTAACTCCCATTATAATTGTTCCTATGGATCACTCCTTACACATGTTGCATTAATACAAATTCTCTCTCTCTCTGGGTATTTGTCTCTCTCTCTCTCTCACAAAGCATTGTTTGATCAGTAAAACTGCTAATTGTATTATTTGGGATCAATACAGTTTTACCCATAAGACTTCCAATTGAAATACTACAGAAAGAAACAGAAAGGCAGCCAAAAGAAGAAGAAAAAATACACACAGGAAACAGGTTATAATTATTATTGGAAATGTGTCCAGCATTTTCTTTTCTTTTTAACTAAAGTAACTTTCTGAATCAAATTACCTACTTTTTAAATTTAATCCTAATTTATTGGAAAAAATCTATAAATAAGCTTCAACGTTTATAGACTCACTCTAAACCTTGTCTAATAAATAAATAAGTTCTCCTTCTCTGCCTTGAGTCCTCCATAGTTTTAACTTTTTCTGCCGTAGTCTCACTTGTGTCACGACATTTCCTTTTCTGTTTAGATTTCTCCTTTTCTCACTGATCTCTTCTGGGATTATAGCATCTACTTCTCCTTTCTCGGCCAACTTCTCCTGTTCCTCTCTGCCCTCTTGCACTTAAGGAAAAAGTCTTGCATGTCATGTCTTTCTAGAGTAGATTTATAGGCCGTGATTAATCTTCGCCTGGCTACTGTGTCCGCACACCAGTCTTGTTGTCAGAAAGCCAGACAATAGCCTGCACTAACACAGGGCTATAATCCAATTTCAATTAAGACAAACCAAGGACCTTTCTATATTTGTCTTCCTCAAGTACACTCCCCCTGTTTTCTTTCTCGCCTCCATAGAAATGGCTGGAGGTTTTGTATGCAGAGTAAGGCGGAACGTTTTTGGCAAACCCCTCAGACGAGAGAAAAAAGAAAGATGTCTGAGGTGTCTGAAACACACAAGTCAACAACCTGTTAGCAAGTTTTTGATTCCTTTACACTCAGAATGTGAGTGATTTAAATCAGAAAACTGTCAAGAACGTATTCCTTCTTCAAGTGGTTCTAAAAATATCACTTCCATGACATTTATTTGCCTTCTGCTCAGTATATCTTAAGTGAAGTTATTCCTCTGCTTCCTTCGATAAAAGAGAAAGAAGAAAGCAAACCTCAAAATGACTTCCACATTATAGACGCCGACACAGCGGGCTCATTTAACATTCATTCCCCACAGCAGCTTGTATTGATTGTCCTTGGTCAACAACCCCCAGCTGTTCACTCAGTATCACTTCACAGCAGATAGTCAGATCCAAAACATGAAATAAAAACTCTGCAGCTTTCCGTTCATTTACATTATACAGTATATTTCCATAAGTTTTAAGAGGATAACATGGAGGAAAACAGCGGATGCTCATCGGCACAAATCAAGTGTTCTGGTGATCCATCATTCATGGTTAATTGTTTATATTATGGAGAGAGCCTTTCCAAATGAAATTAGGACTTCAAAAGACCGAGCAACATGCTTTAAGTCAAAGTTTTTAATGAAATAAACACCCAAGTATTCTGTACACCCATGTACACCCATGTATTCTGCTGCTGCACCTTTATACCATACTCCACAGTGGATGTCATGCAGATAGTTTCTATTTGATAAAATTATGTGCCCCTTACACCCATTTTGTACCCCACAGAGTAACAGAATATTACAATCCTGCTGTTGGAGAAACCATTCTAAGCTAATCTACTTTAAACTGTAAGCTAGTTTAAAGTAGAGTGAATCTATACATATTCTGCAACCAAAACAACAAAGCAATAAAATTCATTCTCTTCCACTCTGCTCGTGGTTTTACTCCTCGTTCATCATCTATGTATATTAATCTGTTTCCTGCCTGCTGAGGAAACTTCAACAATACACATCAATGTGTGATGATGTAGGTCAAAACTAACAACCAGCTGAAAACCTAGCAGAAAACTGTTGAGAACAAACACATATCAGTGGTCAAAATGAGAACTTGACCTCCATGGCTGTAAAGGAGCTGGCAATATTTAATATACTGAAACCCAGATGTGTGCAATGTTCTGGTATTTTGAGCCCATTAAAGTCATTTAATGCACATAACTGCTGTCAGAGCTGAATATGACGAAAACATGTTGAGTTAAAATTCAGAGACAAAGCGCGTATAAGGAAGCAGCCTGCAGTCTCAGCTGGATTATGAAGGAACTGCAGCTACATGCTAAAGTGCTAACTCAGCACTTGAAATAATGACTAAATGGGTTTCTACTGGGAAAAAACCTAAACAGGAAGCAGAGTTACATTATGAAATCACATTCATTAGAGGGTGTAATGAATGCTCATTATCAACAGAATGGGTTGTAAATGCACACAGGATATGGCCTGAGGCACAGAAACAATCATTTCCCGTTGCACATGAGTTCATGTCTGAGCTGCTCACTCTTTGGGTGGGTTGAGGTCTTCAGGTCTGGTCTCAAAAAATACTCGGACTTCCTCACATTGGGAGATGTAGACTGGCAGCTGGATCAAAGCCTACAGGAAGGAAAATGAGAAAGACATGAAACAAAGTTTTACTCTTTGTGGATCACATTTCTTTGTATATAACCACTAAAAGTAAACAAGAAGATGGACTGAAGATTTATAAACTAACATTCCCATTTAAAGTTGTGACATTTTGGAGTTGAGAGTTATTTTATGATGGGGAGGTCCAGTTTGGTTTTTAGATAATGTAAATAAACAGAATTGAATTAAACTGCTGTTAAAATATTATCACTTTAAAACATGTTGACAGAACGAGACTGAACTAGCTCTTCATATTGTAATATTTTACAGTTGCCACATTCTCATCTGTTTAGCTTCTGCTTTTGAAATGTTGTCAAACCATTGGTGTTAATTTTAAGGTTTGGTGTGTTGTACGTTCATTCACTTTTTTCACAAGACAATAGTCTGCCTTATCAAAATAATCAATCAGGAAGCATTTTGTGTTTTGTATTTCATTTATCCTTCTCTTTGGTTCTAAGTCTGTTGATCTATCCCCCCACATCCAACAAATCTGTGGAGGATTTCTAACAGCAGACCGATTAGTTTGGACAATCAACGTTAGATGAAAAACAAACACCGTTTAGTTTCTATTTACTGCTGTGTCTCTTTCTTGTCATCTCTCACAGCCTGTCATGCTGTCACTGGAATATTTGTTTATTTCTTCTCTATCAAAATGCTATTTCATCACCTAACCTTTCGCTTTTTCACCATCTGATGTGCAGCGGTGAAGCAGATAATCACCTCAACAGCATGACGACGAAGAGAGGAAACAGTTCTGCTGCCAACAGCTTACTGCATGAGGACTGTCTCTGATTTCAGATAAAGCCAGGCAACTCCTCCATTTGCAGGCAAGCTGGAGCTCAGTGCTATCCATCAAGCTTCCCCTGCTGCTCTCCACCTCTGATTTTAATACTCCTAAGTGTTTCAGTTTTGTCCTTCAGAGGAACGGCGTCAACCTCTAACAACGGCTGTCATCCACTGACGTAAAGTCAGGGCTGATGTGGAATGAAAGCCGAAGGCCCAACCCGAGTGTCCTTGTCGCATCTGCTGCATTTGGCTTGTCATAGTTAAAAGCAGCCGTTTGGCTTGGACTCAAACACAGACTGCAATTCTTGCTACTGACAAGGCACTTTTTTCTTCTTTACAAAATAGAAGCATGCTTATGAGCACACACATGCACTTTTATACACAATGCATATCACATGACCCTGAACAATGGTTTTATTTGTAAAATACAAAAGCCAAGTATCTCGTTTTAAATTTACAAGAGGTTTTCTCCAGGGGAGAGCGACAACATAACATCCTGCAGGCCATGGTGCTGCACAGTGCCTCAGGTCAAAGTGCATCGTGAACCAGTTGTCCTCTCTTTGGATTAATTTATCTCCTGGAGTAGGTCTGTGGCCTGTCCACTCATTATGATTCTCCCCAGGGAGGAGACAGGAGAGTGGCTCTGGGTAAATTACATTAAATGGACTTTATGGATGTTCTTTGCAGGGGGCCCATTAAGGTAATTGTGAGTGCTTGTGTCTTTGTGTGTGCATGTGACAGTGAGCATGTGCGTATTCTCCAAGGAAAAATATAATGAAATTGAAAGAACTACTTCTCATGAGGGAGAATGTGGCAGTACGGCTGAACAGTAAATTTTTGAAAAGCAGACAGACAGATATTTTTTCTATTCTTACAATCTGTTACATAAGGTAAATTGATAATGTAAACTATTTGCAAAATTATTTATATATTTTAAAAATGTTAAACACATTACAAAAATATTTATTAATATAATTAGCCAACACAAAGTGGGTGAGAATTAGTGATAGACTTAATTGGAGAGGCAGGCAAGAGGCCCATGGTAACTAGAGCAGCTGCAGATTCATAGTTTAAGTTGGGGAAATGTTTTGACCAGACAACCATTAGTCATGCACTCCACAAGCATGGCTCATGTGGAAGAGTGACCAATAAACATTGTTGAAAGAAGGGTGACAGAAGTTCTGCTTGGAGTTTTCTGAAAGTCATGTGGAACATGTGGAAGAAAGTCATCTGGCCAAATAAGGAAATATAAAAATGTTGGCCTCTATTAACCTTAACATATCACTAAAACATAAAACTTTGAGTTGGTGTAATCATTTCAAAAGGTTTCTGTATACAACAGTAATCCCGGACTGCATGCGTTTTTGCTGTGCTGCGCTGTGCACTTTACTGGCAGATTGCGGCCGTTACTGAAAGAGGCGTTTATAGCTGATGCATTGAACAGGGTGTGAAGCCTAAAGCCTGCCCCAATCCCACTGTCTGCACCTTTGTGCGCCACCAAACTGGATTACTTAGAAGGTGTTTTGAGGAGCAAGTTCAGCTATATGAGCTTTTGTATGAACCCTGGAGAGGACTCATGTTTCTTGGGAGAATAGCACATCAAGGCAGGCGTCAAGTTTAAAAGCCGCAGCGCATGCTCTGGTTGCACAACTCAATGCAAACTGCAAATGTAACCTAATGTTGCGCTTTTAGAGGTGTGCATTAAGAATGCTGTAAGAATGAAATATCTTTGTGAACACAGTATTCATAACTACACTTGTTGGCCGAGAGTGTATGTGTTTACACCTCACACACTCGCCCAGCACTTGGTGCTTGGTGAAGTTCATGTATGTGTTCCTTGGTGGGTTAGTGGGCCGGTGGTCAGCTGCACTCTTCGCACTTTAAGGCATTGTGGCCCGATCAAACTCCTTCTATACCTCTGCTACGCTCCAGTCAGGCAGATTTCAGCGTGTGGTCACAGAGTGGACCTCCAAACACATGAACAAATGCTACAAGGCTGACTGGTGTTGACAATGAAAAGCTCAGATCAGAAAACTGGTCTCATAAAGCCAGAGCAACCAAAACAAACAGAATCTGTGATGCTTATTACAAACTCAACAGTCACAAAACGGCAAAACTTGGTCCCTACTTGTGCCATGTAAATGGACATAACCTGGAATGGGGCAGAGATGTGCAGTGCAGTGGTTGTAACTCATCATATAGGGCTGATCAAAGGTTGTATGGGGCCTAGAGCAGAAATGGATTCAGTGGAATCTGGGAGATGGGGCCCAATTTAATTGGCCGAACCAATTACAATTAGAAAACAAGTTTATAATTTCCTGACATGTATTTACTGACATGTATTTGGTAAGTACATCTCATTTGTGAACAAACACAAAGATTAAATTCATAGCATCAGATTGTAGCTATGATAACATAACTATAAAGATTGCTGTTTGTACTTTTACAAAGTAAATTTTCAAGCTACTTTAAATCTTGAAGACAAATGTTAAACATTTTAAAATGATTTTTGAAATCATTTTACAATGTCAAATTTAATTGTGCTTCCTTTCTCAGTAACCAAATGTTAAAATTCTAGATGGAAACTCTGCTAATCATGCACCGTTTTGTGCTGAAGTATAAAACTTCAGCACAAAACTATGCAGAATATCTATTGATATTCAGCATAGAATATGTAATCTTAATGCAAAAAAGGGAAAAAAATTATGAGGTATGAATACTTTTGCAAGACACTCTGCATGATTTCACAATAAATGGAGCTAAAATAGTGAGCCAGGAATTTCTGCAGTTGAAAACTGCAGGTTTCGCATATTATTGTTTATTCTGACAAATGATTTTAGGCAAACCAGTCCCTGACTCCATGATTTTTTTCCCCCTCATGCTTTCATCCATAACCGTTTCATGACCTGAATGAAAATATAAAGCTGCCCAGTTCGGGAAATTCCACATGAGTCAGAATGAAGCATCAGCTGTAAAACCAGGGCTGACTTCGCTGTTTCAGGAAAATCTCCTCATTTTCACCTTGTCCCCCTGTTAGAGCTAACCTCAATAGATTGTAATAAAAAAATATGCTATTTTAATGAAAACATATCAGATATTTTCTCAAAGGTTAAATCTAGACAGAAGAAAGCAACGTAACATTGGCTCAGTTGTTGCTTCAAAACATCCCCACCCAAAGACAAGAACCAACAACTTTATGCATTCCTCCCCCAAACTCTTATTTTTGTCATAAGTGGTTAAAGATGTAGCCTACACCCACTGTGCATTCCTTTAACACTGCTTGACTAAGGAGTGCCTCCAGCCCTCCTCATTGTTTATCATACATAAAAGTTGCTTCACCTCAGGGGTCCTACGATTTGCTGCTTTTACTCTGGGTAAAGTTACATATTAGAGTTTGTAGAGTGAAAACATCAAGCTATGCTTAATAGAAAAGGCAGAAGATTGTTTTTAATTTGTTCTAAGGCAGATATACAATAAACAGTAAGTGAAAGAAAAGTTTACAGGTAATTTCTTCTTTTAAGGGATTTGTAGCATTACAACAAGCAGACAGAATCCAAAAGAAAAGGTTTCAGTCAGCGTGTTGTGCATGTGCTGACTGGAGCAAGCTCAGCAACAGGATGTTTTTTGTCTCTACCTCAATTTTGCTTATAGTAGCCACCACAACCTACATGTTCACTACAGCTGAAAAAGCAAGGCTCAACCTTGAACCCTGAGAAATTTTGAGAAGATGTCTGGTAATAAAAAAAATCCCCTAAGGGTAAAAACAATAACCACATTTCCTTATGTCCTTGACTTTTACTAAGAAAATGCTCTTTTGAGAAAGGAGAACATTTGGAAAAACTGCACTACATGTTTACAATGATTTGTTAAATATTGTAAAGATAATCTCTATCCTAATTGTGCTGCATTTTCTGACTCATTCTGTCATTACAATTTTCCTCCAACTCTTTTTAAGAAGGTCAACTATATTTTATGACTGACATTCAAAGTTGTGCATGAATTGCAATAGTAAGTATTGATATCACAATGATGATTATGAGTGATATATTGTTATCTTTAGTTCACAGGAGAAAAGAGAAAAACAATTTTCTGCCACTAAGACATTGATGAACGCTTGTTTCTCCCACTGTTCCTGGCAATCTTTTGTTTTAATTTTCATCCATCCATCCATTTTCTTACACTCTTGTCCCTAGTGGGGTCAGGAGGGGTTCAAAAGTTGCATTAATCATCAGACTCACCCTGCAGTATTCGTTGATGGGCCTTAGTCTCTTCATGGCCACATCTCTGATATGGCTTCTCCTAAACAAGATCTTTCCTAAAGAAAGAGAAAGAAAAGATAAATAAACCTTAATATCTGTAAGATGAATGTAAAATATGTATATTTATTCAACACTTGCTTTGAGATTGGGAATGTTAGACCTCAAAAGTAAATAGATAATAACAAAAGTAAAAGAGTTTATGCTCTTCTGAACAGACAATAAAGGATGACTAAGCAGAAACAAAGCAAAGGCACAGAAGCTTCTGCAAATCATGACAGGTGAATTAGCATGCAGAAGCAATCCAGACACTGCATCAATAGGTCTGACATCACAATGAGATGAGTAAGGAGCCGCGAGGAAAGCTGGCCTTTGCGAGACATGAAGACATTATTTCAGGAGAAGTTATGTCTGCAGGAAAAGTCACGTTTTTAATCTTATGCCACACATGGACAACACTGTTCACCAGGTCACTATGCCCATAACAAGCAAAAGTTTAAGTTTAAGAAGAGTAGAGGAAAAGTCGATTAAGTCAATAATGTTCTACAAGGGTGAAATGAGAATGGAAATGGTTCTAATAATTACAGACCACAAGAATAGGAAATACTTTTTCTCTTGACTAAACGTTGGTGAAAACTTGAGCAAAAACAAATTCCAGAGGAAGTTATCCTGAGACATCTCGTTTAACACTTTGATTGTTTCTACCAACTACGAACTACGAACTGCTCAAACACCTGCCTGTTTATTACGCTTGACAAAAATGGCCCCAAACCACAGGAAATTACATCACTGTGCGAGCTCTGCTCTGCAAGATATTTGCTTCTTGCCATCTCTATGCTGTCTTGGTTGAGTAATTACTATATGCATATGGAGCGTAGTGTTTTTATTTCCAAACCAACAAGTAAGTTATTACTGTAGTAAAAACATTTTATGCATGAACTTTCAGAACATTTTCTATACCTTATAGATCTTTTTCAGGATATTGGGAGGCTTTCAGTGCAAGTAAATGAACATATGTGTCATTTATGGAGATTTTTCTATGGACTGTAACTCAAAATTATGTATGGAAAATTGACTTACACAAATTTCTTTTTTGTATCTAAGGTTTAAAAAAAGCATTTGAAAGAAATGCAGGTTGGAAAGCTGAAATGCGTAAGTGCTATGGAATTTCACATACTACTGCTTGGCTATTGGAAATGCAACAGCCAATCCCTGCTGCTGATTGGCTGAAAGCAGACATAAGAAATCCCATGGATGTTAGTTTCTGCAGTTGTCCTAAGATGGTTTCCACTTAGAGTAATGGATATTAAAGTATATTTGGTGTTTGAACCAAAATAAGCAGTTATAAGACAGTTTTGGTCCTCAACTTGAGGGTCCATTGTATTTGTAATCCACATTTTCTGGAATGTTATGCTCATAAAATGAAACCTAGGCGTAAATTCAAACTGGAAGACTCTTAAGCCCCACCTGCATCATCCAACTGGCGCATCCCGCTAATCAACGACGACCTATCATCGCTGGACCAAGTCATGTCGCAGCCAATCACCGACCATGTCCCAGCTGATAAGGACATCCATCCAAGGCATCTTCCGCTTCGCTGCTGCGCTCAACCTACCTCCACCCCTTCTCCACCTCCACTGTCCTGGCTCATTCACCAACATCCACCACCAGCATCGGGTTCCGGGGGATGACATTCCTATCAGCATTGGGAATGCTCATCCGAGCTCATCGCATCAGCTCGATGTCCTTAGCCGGGGCCCGAGCGCCAAAGACTTAATTTATGCACGTCAATAAACTTTTCTAATCGCTTTCTTTCTGTGACTGAGTCTCTCCAGATTGAAGTATAAGTATAAAGATAAAGTACTGAAATTACTTTATCTTCTGTTCTGAGTTTAAAAACAAAAAGCCATTATTATTATAAACCATGTATGGGAAAATGTCTCCTTCTGCCACTGACGCTATTAGGCTTTGACAAACATTCTTGCAAAATTACTCTATTTCACTCAAGGGTGAATATTTTTTGATGAATGAGTTGAGCCACCAACAAAGTCATGTACACAGATGTTTAAAAATCCGAGTAATAACAATGTTTAAAAGTTTTTATCTTATACAATCAAAAAAAAAAAAAAACAACAAAATGTCTGCCTTCACAGAAAAGAATGAACATTGCAAAAAGGATTAAAAGTGATAAAAGCTTTAAAAAGCTGAAAGAGGTTTGAAAGTCACCTCCCAGATTAATATTTCTGCTTCTTCTTTTCATTTTCATCCCTCCCCTCATCCTTCTTAAAACATAACGTTCTTGAAGGTTTTCCAAAGCTCTGTGGGGTCATGAGAGAAGCACTGACTCAACACTGCTCACTTTGTATGCGAGGCAGCATGTGGATGCAAACGATGAAAAGAGCTTGTTAGGGAGGGAGGAGCGGCAGCCACGGCCCTGGAGCCATGGCTGAGAGACAGGGTAGACTTTATGGTCTAATCTGTGTGCCAGCAGTGACCAAAGGTATCAAAAAACTGTTGTTTCCATCAGAAGACTGAAGTTTGAAGAGAAAAGACTTACAGTAAGACCAACACAGAGGTCCACTGTTATTTACCTTCTGCCCAAAGAGCTGTGCCTTCGGCTAAGCTCCTAATGAGCGGATTCGCTGCCATATTTTGCCTCTTTACAGAGTTTTTTTTCAGTTGATAATACTTTTACATAACTCAAAATCTGTTTAAGCTGTTTGTTGTGGCACAGCTGTAGATCTAACCCTGTCATTTGGACTTGATTTGAAGTTTAATGCTTTGATGCGACAAAAGTGGATTCTTTGTGTTAGAAATGATTAGCCAGAATAGGAACCCTTTGCCAAATGACAAAAGTGTCCATGTTTTGGCCTAAATTTTGTTATAATTCCGTAAGACTTGTCTCAAGGGAAGGATGGTTCCTTGAATAACTGGATCACACAAAATAGATGATTTCTGCATGGTCACACAATTCAGGAGAAAAATGGCAGAATATGCAAGTAATAGCCAAAAAAGACCTGGAGTGTCTTATGTTTTGGACTAGGCCAAACTCAAGGCAGAAATACTCTACAGTAAACTGAGTTAAATTAGCACAATTGCACTGTGTCAGTAACAGCTTCAGTAAAGCAGTGATTTATGATTCCTGTCATCTAAGTCAACGGCTCAAATGCTCCTCAGTATTAGGTCCACAAACCAATGCACAAACTACAGTTCAGACACGAGTGATGCATATGATGAATGAGGATCTGAAACAATGCACCAAAAAAACAGAACAGCCTGGTAGCCCAGAGTGTGCATCTTGACAGTTTTAGAAAATTATGACTTTTCTTAGAAATACTAGCTGATTTTCACACAGAGATGTGGAGGTAGACCTGCAGCAAAGATCCCAGCAAAGGATAAAAAGCCTGCGTTTGGGTTACCTGCTCCAACACATCACCACACCTTGGCCCAGTTAGTTCTCGTTTTACGACACATTCTCATTAAGGAACCACCAGCTGGTGCACCTCAATACTTCTCACTATATCTTTTAGTAGCTTTACTGCCTTGGTGTGAGAAATATTTTCAACCGCAAGGCTGTCAGTGTCTGTTGCTCAAAGTTTTTTAAGCCTCTGTATGTTACTGGGCTGTGTTGGTTGACAAGACTCAGTAATACTGTGTGGGTATTAAGGGCAGTTCACCTGGATTGGAAGCGTAACCAGGGTGAGAGAACGATGGGCAGATTGGTGCTGCGTCTGCAGTGATACACTAATCTGCTGTGGTGAAGAGAGAGCTGAGTCACAATGCAAAGGTCTCCATCTACATTCATAATATCATCTATGCCATTAAACATCAAAGTAAAAAAATGGACTAACGTCAAGAATGTCAGTTAATTTACTACTGAGACATTCAGACGACTGGTACAAATTATTCAAATAACCAAAGAGAGACTGAATTCCTCTGCCATGCAGATAAAATATTGATGTGCAATAGACAAAACTTAAACAAGGAGGTAACTTTAATTTCTCAGATCTGCTTGTGTTTTGCTTCATCAAGAACAGTTTATGGAATATGAGATATTTGGGACACAGAAGTTGATCCAGCCCAAAATGTAAGGTTACTTTTACTCCAACTTCAGAGATATTAGATGAAAAGGATTTTTCTGTATTTTATCTTTACTGGAATAAAATATGTCCAAACTAAAACAACAACAGGCTCTTGAGAACAAAACGATGTTCCACTGGGAGCTTTGTAGGTTTCAATAACCAACTGGCTGGTGCTCCCTGTGAAATGATCTAAGATATTTAACTACATACACATGGAACAAATCTGACACAATACACAGAATGTCATGATAATATTTTGCGGCTCAAATCAAGAAAGTGCAAGTCAAGTGTTAGTTATTTGTTCTGTACAGGCATAAGTGGTGAAAGTTATGTTGGATAGTCACAGTAATAATAATCCCAGAGTTCTACAGAGAAGAACTCTACATTTCTGTCCTACTTTAGATTTTCATTTATTTAACTGTTAATATTTGTTTCCAGGTGAATATTAAACATTTACTATTGTTTGATTTTTTTTGGTGTTTTAATACATCCACTGTTCCTTTTTCTCTCTTCAGGACTTTAACAAACTTAATCAAGAGGAAAAACCACATCAGTGCTTAGTAATGCTAACCTCCATACAGGCTTTGTAGGAAATAACTTTCCAAGCTGTGAGGAAATATCAGCAGTTTAGACAAATGCTAGCTTGGAATCCCATAGAGAGAAAAGTGTGATGTGATCTAGGATTACAGGGGACATTCTTCAGAATCTGCACTGGCAGGACTATTTTGTCCTGCCAGTTTTTAGTGTACTTAATTCAGAAAACTTCTTAACCTACTGTCAACAGTTCTACAAGAGCTCTCTGTGATTCTGTAGAAAGAGAAAAGAGCTGAAGAAATAAGAATGTCTAGAAGTCAGTGAAATAAAGGAGAGAAAACAGGGAGGAATGGAAGGAAGCAGACAGGAATTCCAGAAAAAATCTCCAATTTCAATCTTAAAACCAAGAGAAAAAGATGGCAGCTTAATCCAGGAGAAACTGTTTTATGACAACCATAGAATGAAAACCAGTTTTTTTTTCTTCTATTTTTCCCTCATGCAAACATTACATTTCTGCTGTCTTAGTACAACTTCTCTCAATGACTTCCAGACCTGCATGGGCATAAAAAGTATCCCCCAGCCCACCACCCAGGCCTGCCTGCGTGGTGGGGGATATGTGGGTGGAGCTCATGGATAAGGCCTTTTCCCCTCTCTTGAAGTATTACTTTCAGAAGGGTTTAAAAAGTCGGTCATGCACACAGAAAACACAGCAGTCTCTTGTATTATTAAGAAGGAAAGGTGTTAGGATTCATTTCAGATTGTTTTAGGACTAAGTATTGTCAACTACTCTAAATATACTGACATTTATGTGTGCTTTATGTGTTCTTGTCAGTGAGTCACTGTTGTGCAATTTATGTTTGCAATTCTCATGGAGTTATTAAAGAAGGATGAAAGACAACTGTGCAGAGAAGATAAAATCATGTGTTTTATTTTATGTATAAAATGGTGAAAATTTACAGTAGATTGAAGTTTATTGGACTCTCACCTGGTAAGAATGGGATGATTCTGCGCTTTGGGTCCTTCTGGCCTCCCTCCACAGGGAATTTATCCAGCAATTCCATCTGAAATCCCCAAAATGATTAGAAAGTTATTGGCACATGTAGGATTTACATTCACACATACACAAATAGGCTGAATAAACAGGGGAGCTGTAAGTGGTGAGGAAGTCATTTTTTATAAATCAGCACTTCCAACAGGGAATTTAGCCAATAGGGGCAGATCTGACAATGATTAGGAATGTACTGAACAGATGGTATGTTTCTTTCCCCTCTGAGCTTCATATGTTGCTGTAGCTGAGTGCTGTTAGCAGCCAGGAACCACTGACATAATGGAATATATCTGTTTCCATCGTTTCTCAGAAAAAAAGCCAATGAGCTGTGATTCATTGTTGCTCTAAATCTCTTCTCGTTTTCTTACTTCTATTTCTTAAAAAACTAATTCAACAATTAAAGCCTATCAGAAAATCTTTCTACACATTTGATAGCAACAGGTAAAAATAAATACAGAAAAAAGCATTTTTTCAGCTAAACAAATTACTAATTACATACAGAAAGAAAGTTTTTCTAATAATTGTTCATAATGACATTTTATTTAGAAACCGTCTTCTAGGAACTACAAAAACAATACAATTGAGTAAACTATATTCTACAGCGGCCTCTAATCAGACGTTGCTGATGAAGTCGGGCCAGGACTTTAGTCAAACTGAGATTTCCATCCTACAAACCAATTTTACTAACTATCTACAACAAAAACAGAATTACAACACATATTAAACCACATTCTCTATGAAAAAACTCAAGATCATCTCATCTCAAATCAAGACCACTGAAGCTGTTATTCTCCTAACCCTGAAATGTCTGTAATCAGAACAGAGTTTTCATTTACTTATTTATACATACAAGTATATCATATATACCAGAAAACATCTCTTCTAAAATAGTATTAGTAGAACTAATTAAACTTATCTGTGTATTTAACTTAACCTTACATGTTATTTCTGACACGGAAATAAATTAAGGCTAATCATCAGAAATGTGGAGCATTGGAAAACCAAAATAGTGTCAGAAAAAAGAAAGATGTCGACAATGTATGGAGGGAAAAATGTTTGGCTCGAAAAGCATCAATCTGCTTAAGAGTCAGATACTTAGTCAGTGACACAGCACCACCTTAGGAATGCCACCATAAACACAAAGGCAGCCAGACAGACAGAGACAAAGAAGATCCGATGCCCCACACAGAGTAATTGTTCCCATGTGTTTAGCTGGGAGTGCAAACACACCCCCGCCTCAGTGTCTCCCTGAACCTTGTATCTACTCTGTAATCAGAGCCATCCAAAGGAAAAAAAAACATTTGGAGAAAGAGAGAAACATCTCTACAAAATGTCATTTATGCCAAGCATACAACATCAAATATTCATTCTCTGTGGGAACGCCTCCAGCTGCTAAAAGCACCATGGATGACGTTGCTGATAAAGCAGTGACATGAGACTGGCTTTGAGGCCAGATTCCAAACGTGAGTGTCATATAAACAATAAGTTATTGTGGACTAAATAAATTACATTTTCAAATTACACTGCTGGATACGCTTTTCTGCTTGCTTATTTATTGGTATATCCCTCTGATGGTGTAATTACTCTTACCTGAAAATATAAGGACATTAACTGCAAATTATGCAAAAGAACCACAAGTCTCCTAACTTTCATAATAATGGCCTCTGATTTTTGTATCTACAATTAAAGGGTAATTTGAATTACTTCATGTGGCTTTTAATCAATATTCATTTACTCATATGAGGAAACTGAACCCAAAATAATCAGCATAACAAAACATATGTCAGCAACTCACAGAAAGACAACATGTGGTCAGGGAAGTATTTATAGTTTTAACTTATGATGATAGATAGAGGATCCTGGAAACTTCAAAACTGTTTTTATTTCTGCTGAATCAGAAAAAAACTTACACTTGAAAGGACTCAATTTAGTCAAGTCTGTATCTGCTTTCACTACATCAGCATTTAGTCAGATGCATAACAAAGGTTGTGCAAGACTGTTGAATGAGGGGATGAAGAAAAACTTCACAGCTACAGTCTCTTCCAGTCTTCATTTGCAAAATAACTCAGACTGTCAATTGGCTTAACTGTCTTAAATATACATTTCTGAATTTTGGGTAATAAGAAGACTGTTTGATGTAAAACATTCTAATGCAGCTCTAGCTATGTTAGAGGTGGTTGTCCTGCAAAAAAAATAGCCACTGACTAAGTCTCAACTCTACTGCAGCTTCCCATAAGTCTGATCAGCTTCTCTGTCCCTGCTGAAGAAAAGAATCGTCTGAGGATGATGCCATCACCACCTTGTTTTGCATGAAACAGGGTTTCCCCCAGAAAACCTGCCAGGTGTTCCACCAGCAGCCCACTGTGTTGACAGGAAATGTAAAAATATTACTGGGTAATTATATGTTCCTGGAAGACATTGTTGGCAATACTTTTAAGTAAACCACACAACTATAAAGTCTTATAAATAACAAATAAAAAACACATAATTAAAATATGAAGAGGAAGAGTAGCCCCTGAATCAAATTCTGCTCGAGGCCCTGTACAACCTTTGGCCGGCCCTGCATGACGAGCTGCAGCCGGTGCACTGCACGTCTCTGCTGGAATCCAGAGGCAATCAGGAAGATTTCATTTCCGAGGCACCAAAAGGACCAACATTTTCCATTTGTGACTGTTGAGTTTGGAATAAACGCCACAGACTGTTTGTTTTGGTGGCCCTGACTTTATGAGACCAGTTTTTCCAATCTGTGCTCTTCATTGTCAACAACGGCTGGCCCTCTAACATTTGTTCACATGTTTACAAGTCCACTCTGCAACCATCTGATCAAAACTGCCTGACTAGAGTGTAGCAGAGGCGGAGAAGGAATTTGATATAGCACAGTTTGAGGCATCGTGTCATGTCAAAACAACTATGTCCTGCATGACCAGGAGACGAGCGTGACAGCGGTGTCTGCATCAGGGTGAGGCGGCCAATGTTGGTGTGATTGGTGCATTCCCCGGCTTTGCACTCTGTTCAACCCATCATTTATAAATCTGTCAGCGTGAAGTACGCAGCGGAGTCCAGCAAAGAGGCATACAGTCCGGGGTTACAGGTTTTCAAAAAGTTCTGCTAGATAAAATGAAAACAAGCAAAGCTTAGCCTGGCGGAGGGACAAGTCAAGCCTGGCAGCCCACCAGGTTTGAAATACACTGGGGGAAACCCTGTGTAAGGCAGTATTTTGTCTCATCTGACCAGAACAGCTCGTTCCACATGTTTGTTTCCTACGTAGCTAAAGGCAACTTCCAAACAAGACCTCTACTGACTTTATTTCAACAATCGCTGCCACCGCTCCTCCACGAAGGGCAATTTTATGGAGTGCACAACCAATAGCTGTCTTAACACATTCTCAAGTTACGTGTGTCAGAGGTCTCACAAGAACACATACCATTAAAAATAATAAAAAACAAAAATGCTTTGCTGTGGTTTATCTTAAGCATCAGCTGTTTGTTCCAGCTGAGTCGATTGCATGCATTCAGTGACACATCCAGCCTCTGCCCCATCTTGTCTTTGTTATTAAAACCTCATGCTGAATCATACAAACCAGCACCGTGTCACTAAACAAGGCATGGGGATGCCAGGAAGAAGGAAAAAACAAAGAGTAGCTGGAAATGATGAAGTGAACGATGATCAAGAAGAGTTAAATTTGATCAGCCTTTTATCACCATGTCGGCCAGACGCCTGGACTGATGTCAGAAGTTATCAACCTTCAGTCTTTGTCTGCTTCATAGCAAACACTGTAAAGCATCAGACCAATAAATGAACCATTTACATAAATTCTGGAATGCTATTTCAAAACTGATAAGGTGATGTATTTTTGGTGATGTATATTTGTCACTATTTTTAATCAGGTCCGCTGATTTAAAATAGCATTCTGCCCTACCAAAGACTTGGTGAGGTCACATGGGAAAGTCCCAACTGAAAATAAGTCAAACATGATCATCAGATTCTCTGACAGTCGTGGTGACATATCAATCATAACTGGAAACATGATGAAAAAATAAATGCACTATGCTATTAAAAAGTAATCATGTAAATAAAAATGAGAACCGAGTTAACGAGTCCAGCTTCCCTGATGAGATTACATTTTTGCTTTTTATTAGCTTCAACAGCTACCAACCAAAACAAATAAATAGTATCTTAAACTATCACAGAGGTCTGTAAATCCAGTCCTTGAGTTCCACAGTCCTTCAACTTTTGGATGCATCCCTGTTCCAACAAACTTCAATCCAAAGGTTTTATTACCTCCCTGGCGTGCCAGCAAGATTTGCAGACATGTCTGGTTGTTAACCATTCGTTTGGTGTTGGAGGACAGTGGCACTCGAGGACTAGAGTTGCAGACTGTAGTGTATCGTGCGTTATGACTGCACAAACAGTTAGCTGAAGGATTGAATCTGTTTTCAGTTGATAATTAAAAGAAAAACAGTTTCTAAGCTTGGCAATAATATCAAGCAAGGGTCTGATTTTCATTAAAGCGATCTTGATTTCAGCGATGCAATGATGTAGGACTTTTCGAGGAGGTTATAGCAGGTCATTTGGACAGAATTTGTATTGTCTGACTTTCTACATTTTTGTAAAAGTTACATAATCAAATACTGAGCCTTTGGTGAGAAAGATCTTCAAAGATATTTAGATTAGAAGAAATGTATACCAGGAAGTAAAAGTTCAAAGTAAAAGTATCACACTGCAGCAGGGCTGGTTACCATTATGATGTTATTTTACAGTTTTAAAAAGTAGCACACTGTTTAAAGTCAATTTAATGAGATGGCAGAGATCATGCTAAAAACAGTGCCAGAGTTTTCTCCTGTTTGAAAAGGGTGGTGCAGTGTTATCCCTCCCCCACATATTGCTGAGCACTGATGGTCTGCTGGCTGAAATAATGCAGCCAGCAAAACAGAGTTCACTGTTTCACTGTTCAATTAAAGGGTAAGTTCAATGTAGTTGAACAAGCTCACAGTGATATGACATCTTTCTCTTTCAGGTAGGGAAAATATTACCAACAACGTTACGCTACCTCACTGTGAACCAGAACTAACTCTAAATCATGTGGTGTTGTTAGCTAGGAGTATCATATCCAGAGAGTCTAATACTTTGAGAAGCAAATTTGAAATGATTATTTGTGTTATCACCCAGAGAAATAAGAGTAATAAGTCATTATTTTCATCCTGCTTCTGTTCACTAAGTGAATATCACTGTTAGCTTGTTTACAACTAAAAGAACAATATTACTACGTCTTGCAGACAGAAAGGTGATGTTGCCCAAGATGTTAGATGACACAGAAAGTGATATGAATAATGAATGCTATTAGTAATGAAATACCATCTTTTGCTTAGCATTGCATTAGCAGCTTCGGAGAAGCTTGATGATGCATTACATGACTTCATTTCAATCCGCATGCTTTAACTATTTTAATGAAATTATAAGAATTGAATTCAGTTAGGGTTCACCGTGCGCGTTGCCTAAATTGACTGTTTGCTCATTTAAAGCTCTTTGCTGGGTATCTTGTAGTCAGTGCTCTCAAAAGCTTTGATGCAGCCAGACCCCAAAGATCCATAACTTTCAAAAGAAGAAGGGAAACTATGATACTAATGAGATTTCCTCCTTGTGCAAGAGACACACTGGCAATAGTATGATGTTTGAATGACTTCAGACATTTCTGTGGTCATCAGTGCGGTTGTTCCATTCATCAGTGTCTTCTGCTAACTTCAATGGGACATTTTCTGAGTCCTCACACAGTTTAATTACCAGTGTTATGTGGATGGAGTAATGCAGACGCTGATTGTATGATACAGAAGGTCAAATGTTGCCAAACTTATTGGGTCATTTTCTATTATAAATATATTGACTTTAATGAGATTCCATTACTGCATATGACAGTGCACTTACAACAACTTCAGCTCTTCTAGAAAAAAGGTCTATCATTAATATGTGTGTTTATGGGAATATTCAACCATTAATCCAGGACAACAGACACTGATTTTGGACTAGAAGCCAAAATGCTTCTCTATAAGACTGTCTATTCTCAGTTGTCTATTCTCTTTAAAATTGCCTTCAGTAAATACTACAGTAAAAAAAATGCTTGATACTGGACCATTGGAGTGATATAGCTTTTATCACTTTCTGTGTCATCTAACATCTTGGGCACCATCATGTGGGTCACAGGTGGGCAGAGACATCCCACCCAACAAGCTGAATGTCCTTTTGGTATGTAGAGGAAACTACAACTGTCCTCTCTGATATTGTGTAGCCCTCAGTCTGAAGTCCATATATTGATAAAATATTCTGTATAAATCTGCCTTTTCAACTTGAGCCAGTGGAACAAAGACAGTGCTAATATATAGTAGCTACACAAAAATGGAAGCCACAGCAGTTGTAATAATTGATCCTTTGTAAAAAGACCTTAAAATGTTGTTTTTGGTACTAAAACTACTAAATGTCCAGGGGCAAAAACACGTTTCTGAGTTACTTGTTCAGTATGAGCTACATAGACTCCACAACTCTTTAGAGATCTGCTTACTTTGCTTTTCCAAAACCAGAACTAAATTAGGACAGTCAGCATTTTGAACAAATTTCATGAAACCATAAGATGTGCCAAAACTGTTCCTACTATCAACAAGGGCTGAACATATTACTGCTTGCTGCAGCGTTTGACCAGAAAGTTGTAAAATATGACATTTTCACAATTTTCTTGTCATGCATTTTTTTCCGAAGAGGTTATTATTATTTTAATGTTCCTTTTTTAATTGGCAGGTGTACAAACAGTGCTATATAAACTTGCATTAACAATAAAACTTTTTTTTTTCTAAATAAAAGCAGTCTATTTGTATTTGCATGTTTAACACTTTTTCCACAAACATTTATTTTAGGATTTTCAATCCAGTCATACAGGCCAGTGTCGTAACACATGCACATACTAACACACTAAACACCCACCTGGAGGTCAAAGAACTTGCTGTAGCGCCTGAAAATGGTTTCTGTACTGCCATCACTCCAGGACACTTTGATGATGTAAACCTTGCAAAGAAAAAAGGGAGGATAATTATTTTAGTGCATAGTGAACTTAAAACATCCCAGTATTTCAAGATAATGCTGGAACAAGATAACTTTCTGAATCAAACTCCACCTTTATGGTTTTACTATATAAAAGTGTTGTGACTGCTATAGGGCTGAACAGGAAAGACAAACATCAAGCATCAGTCATTACCATCAGGATATACTATTATTTCACTTCCTGTGGTGATTGAAGCGCTTCCTCCAACACTGAAACATCATCCTGTATGGACACAGCAGATTAGCTTTACAGACAATCATTATTGCAACACCAAAAGTTATCTGATTACCATCTTTGAAACAAAAACTAAGGAATTAGTTTAGATATAACTATATGATGCAAACAACTAAATGTTAGCTTTATTATGTAGAAATATTACAAACACATCTTAGCTAATCACCAGGGTCTGGAGGAAGCAGACGTAGTTTTAGGCAATGCTCTAAACTAATAAAAAAAGAGCAGAGAGGAGGGAGGTGATTGGAAACTCCCTGGTGGCTCACTGTGTCTGGCTGACTGCTGCTGGCCTGACTCCCAGGCCCACTATGGCCGAGCTCTCTCTTGCAGGGCAGCAGTCAGCGATTGCTAAACAGACATGTAGGGAAACCTATTTGATTATACAGAGCTTCACACTGAGTTTATGTCTGTGCAAGAGAGACCAAGCAATTATCTACTTTAATAAGAGAGCTAAGGCTTTTAGGCTACATATTTTAGTCTGGTCATCATACAATCACCAAACTAAAGGAAAACATCAACTTCTGTGAACTCAACATGTGCATGTGAGCTCATGAGCACACGTTAGCATTCTATGAGATTTAGAGTGTCAGGGGGAACAGAAAACGCCATAAAATCACATGGGTTGAACTGGAAAGTAAGCAGACAGATGGAGAAGACACAGGGCCAGAAGCACGCCACGTTCTCCACCACCGACTCACAGCAGTCTAACGCCCGTTTGTCCCAAAGTTTTCACACGTACAGTATATCATGGACACAAACCAGAACATTCACAGAAGGATGCGTACAGGGGCGCTGAACCATCACCAATGCCTGCTATGGTGGCTCTGATTGGGCTTCTGGTCACATGGTGTCATACGGATTGCAGTAACTGTATATATGCAGGCAAATGCGCCCACGCTGGGCTGTTCCCACAAAACCAATAGAAGCTTCTTTGTTTGAGTAAAGCAGAAAAGTTAGAAATGCGGCTTTGTCTTTTTTGGCATTCCTGTCTATCAAACTATCAGGCTTGTTGCAAGAGAGAAAGAATTGCTTGTATATTTTTGATTCTGTCCCTTCCTCTGCAAAATTACACAATTAATCGATGGTAACAAAATCCTAATCCTCACTAAGATTGTCAACAAATAGAAAATAAATAAATCCAATATTTACTTGCATAAATCTATTGCAGAAGCAAAACAATTGAACATGTTCATGCAATGGGCTATAAAAGATTGTAATGATTAGGACCATTGTCCACAGTGACATTGCCGTCAGTGTGACAGCATTAGCACCACTGGTGTGACTTCCTTGTCTGTCATGCCTGAAGGCATGAATTGCAGAGTTAATTGAAGGACTTGACGCATGACAAATCTTGACACGCCTCTGCCTAATGTGTTACCTTGGGGCCTTCACTATTTGAAATACAAGGTAACGCTTCATATCCTTTTAGCTTTCCCATATTGTTAAAACTTTCAAACCTCAAACTTCAATATTTTCAATGGAATTTTACCTGATAGACTAAAACAAAGCAGCTAATAATTCTGAAGTGGGAAGAAAATGATCATTTTCTGTTTATTATTATAAAACTAAAGTGTGAAAATTGCTTCCAATCTTCCACCAGTTTGAAACAGATAAATTTCCAGGAGCTCTACTTTTTACCAAATTTTCTCTGGAACAATCACATCATGCCTCAGACGGATGAAGATTTGGATTTTGACTGGATCATTCCCATGGGTAAGATTAAATCCTGATCAACACTGAAGAATCCTATTTTTCTTTTGTTATATTTTAAGAATTTTATTATTTTACTTACTTTGATAAGCACTAGTACTTGCACTGTCACTTTAAGATTAGAGTGTCTTATGACATCAGTACTCAGTTGGTGAAAGGCTGCCTGAGAAGAGGTAGGAAATTTTCTTGTTTTTAGTTAAGCTCGCATTTTATGAAATATGTAAAATAATTGCAAGTACGTGCAGCTGTGAATGTTTGTTTCAATGCATACAGAGGAGCATTCTTTTTGACAAGTTAAGAACATTTTTTTTAAATGTCAAAGCAGTTATTGTTATTATTTAGTCACAGGGTTTCTCCAACTCCTGTGAATGGAAGAGCTGCATGTTAAAGGCCATTTTTATTTCTATTTGTGGAGCCTCTGCCAGCAACCTGCATTAAAGAACAACCAGCAACTCCTGTGGTCTGACTCCCTTCTTCAACTGAACACAACGCAGAACACATCAAGGTTAACCGACTGTATAAGACTAGGTTATCAGTACAGAACACTAATAGTATACATCAGTTACATAGACAATGAGTAGAAAGTACAGAATTCCTATAAATCATTGAATATTGAAGCGGATCCAAAATGTACCACTGTGATTACAAAGTGATGAATGGCTGAACCAAATTACAGCCATAGACCTCAGTTGATATGGACCTCAGTCTTTCCATCGGCCCATATAGAAGACAAATGTCCCCAAAGTATGATGCTTCCACCACCATATTTGACATAATGATGGTGTGTTCCTGGTGTATGTAGGGAAAGCAAACAGCAACAAATTTTCCAGGAATACAAAGAAGTGGATTTTGTTTAATGAGACCAGAGCATGTTTACATTGTCCCAAATGTTGAAAGGTTCAAAGGGTGTGAATGCTTTCCAAAGCACTGTAAATGGCTAAAATTGAAATGTCCAAATAGACAGTCAATACCTGATATTGGGAATCATTTATATAAGACCAGTAGGTCTTAAAGATCACATCAACCACAATAACACCAAAACCCATAAGAGATTTTTCTCAGCCATACTCAGTGAGTTATTTGGTGGTTTCAAATGTTATAATTCACATACCGGGGGTCTATTGTCTCTTCCAGTGGTTGTTGGTGTCTGAGTGCTATAAAAGGTTTTCCTACATCCCCACTTTTGGTTTTCAGGATTAACTCATACTTAATAACAGTACCAGTCAGCTTAATGTTTAAAGCAGCAACAGATGCCAGGAATGTCTAATAGTTTAGTTGGGCCTGCTTGGTAAACTGTAATCTGACACTCTTTGTTGTTACTTTTCCTGACTTTAAAAGAGGCAGAGCAGCGGAATAATCTCGGCTGGGATCTTCCAAATAAAGGATCTTACATAGTGTTTGTTGGGACTTCTTCTCTTCTGGACATCTTGCACGGTTACTTCTTGCACGGTGCGCCGCGGCATGATGTCCTGCTCTTCCACTGGCCGTTACCACAAAACGCAGAAATCCACCTCCAAGTTCTGTACGACGATCACACCCGGTCGAAAAAGTTCGCTGTTCCACCGCGAGTCTCTTTGTCATCCACGCAGTTCCGATCCGTCACCTGTGGCGGTAACAAAAGCCGTTTTCCGCAAATTTACTGCGTCAGATTTCCTGTACAACATTCAGTCGATTTGTGCATGAAGGTCTTTAGATCCTGGATCTCCTCTTTCCTTTCTTTCCTTCTTGTGCCGTTTCTGGATCCGCTTACGACTTCCCAACCAAACTCCCAGCCTATCCCAGCTCACCCACTCCCATCTGAGCAGCTGGAAGCGCTGCGTGGCTGCGTGGACCAGCCCTATGGCGTCACGCTTCACCACATGCTGCCACAGCGGTTATCAGGGAACCTCTCATGTCCATTTAGTTCTTTTTACATCAGACATTTTGGCAAAATGTAAATATGGATATGGATTAAAAAGAAACGAAGCTCAGATAAAAGAGTAATGCAGCAACAATCAGAGGCTGATTGGTTTCACGGTCCATGATGCATCATTCAGAACATGATATTCGGAAACAATATTTACCGAATATTGTTCGAGAAATATTTATTTAGGAACAATCCTTTCAGGTCTGCCTTCATTCATTTTGCTTCCTTGCAAATGATTTTTCTGCCATTTCATTTTAAATCCCTATCCTTTGACGCAGTTTCATGTGAACAGCGTCCCAGTGACTGTATGCTGTTCATACAACATCCAATAACATAACTATAAAAACGTTTTTGATGTTTTTTATGATATTCTCATTCATTTTATTTGCCGAAATGTAAATCTTTATTTTTATTGCTCCAAGAAATGATTTATTGATAAATGACCAAATGAGGTTAATAAAGTTTGTATTAACCTCAATTCATATGTAGTTTACAATAAATTATGTGAAATTGCTTTGAATAATTACTTCATATGACTCTATTGTTTACTATATGTTGATAAGTTGTTTTTTCTATACTTTAATTTGTTTTGATTTTTTCAAAAGTACATATTTACATCAGTGCTGATCAAAAGTAAGTTTTTGACCAGCTGCCTGAGGAGATGCTGTGTCCTAATCTGAACATTTATGCTTCTCCTGTTATTGCTGGGGTCAGAGGTCATGCACTCTGCAACTTTTTGTAATCAGATTGATTACTAACACCAATGTTGTGAAGGAGTCTTTAAAGAGTCTCATGCTTTTTCACAATTATGTACATTAAAAGGAAGAATAGACATAATAAAAGAACAACTTTAAGTGAAATTCTGCTTAGTTTTTGGTAGAATCAATCTCAGATTTAAATAACTAATTTGCTTTTAATTTTTGAGATGTTCATGTCTTTTCAGGTTTTTGTGGTGGCATTCACAAAGTCCTGTCAGTTTTGTAGCAACATAGCGCCATCTTTTGGTGTTTTAAGCTTATTACAATCTAACTGCATATGTGGCAGTTCTTCCATGTTGCTCAGTAACACATGTAACAATGTCAAGTGACATTTGTGTTTTGAACACAAGCACATTGGAATATGAAGTAAAAGTTTAGAAGTATATGAATGTGTAAGTTATGCAAAGTTATTTAAGTTTTATAAATTTGTGAATCTTTTTCTTGCTGATGTGAAAGTTTTTACTTGAACTTGAGCAAAGGAAAACAGAAACTACACTGGAGAAAAGCAGAAATTAAACATGACTTATTGCTCTGTGGAGTCTTGTTAGACTCCTTGTGAAAAGCGAAACATACAAGTAGGTAGAATATTTATATCATAAACTCAAAAATGTCCAGATGATTTGTTCAAAGTTCTGTTTTAAGTGAATAAATAAAATGGATCAAATATTTGATCTGATGACAAAGTATGACAAAAGTTATAACAAAAGTTACACCAGAACAAGTTTGCAGTAGTGAAGTACTTTTGTACTGATATCTGGAAAACATTTTATTTCAGTTTACAAGATCAACAGAGTTACAGTGCTAAAATGTTAGACCTTTACTTTAAGAAAAGAAAGATAGTTAACAATTCACAGGTTTTTAAACTGGAACAACATAGTGGTCTATTATAGAACATAAAAGCTGGAACCCATACAGTGTAAGATTGCATTATTCAGTATAAGATTGTAAGTACATTTTCATGAGCCAATTGCAGTTTGCCATATTATAATCACAAGATACAAGCCATCCCATCTTGTTGATTTTTTGATGATAGACCAACACAAAGTGGGTGAAGAAATGGAGAAACTCTAAATAAATGTCCTTGCTGAGGAAAGGTTTTCTCACAGGATGATGCAGACATTGCCATATTTCACTATCCTGACTGTGCATTTACTAAAACAATATTATGACTGTGTATTTGATCAAATAAACCTCTTAAAAAAACCTCTAAAAATAAACCACACACCTCAGATAGCACAACACCGAAGCCTGGGTGTCATGCCGAGGTAATGCATCCCTGTGATGTCTAATCATGTCTGTTTTACCCAGAGATGAAAAGAGCTGACAGAACATGTGTTCTTCTGTTAATACACTTCAATTAGAGGCAGAAACAGAACGTGAACTAATGATGTTTACTCGTCATTTTGGCATATTATCAGTCCCAGGAGAATCCAAACCACCATGTGAGCATGTAGAAATATACACATTTCACAGCCATTTATGTTTGGTTTTTATTTTCAAAAATAGATTTCTGCCATTTTTTCTATGGTCATTATTTGCAAAAAGGCTCTGATGGTTTTTCACATGAAGATGAGCCTTGGAATTAGAGGTAACCAAGAGTTCAGTTTAGTCTCAGTGCACCTTATCTAATCCCTCTAATCACTTCTTTCATTCCTGTACGATGTGCTCAGACCTTTAAACTCGCCTTTGCCCCAGCAATGGCTGCCACTGTAGGATTAACATGCAGAGGTAAAGGGACAAGGTTACAGTGGCCAAATGAGGACTTTGCTGAGGAAAATCTCCAGAAAAAAACAGAACATCACGCCGAACATGATTCAAGGGAAAGTTATGCCAAAAAATGACACAATTGTGGTCAGAAGTTCAACTACTCCACAGTTATTTACTTGATGCATTTGAGTTGTTCTTTTTTATGGTGGAATGATTATTCAAGAAAACATTGTTGATTAAAAAAAGAGTTGGGGGCTAAAATTTTGAATTATTAAAGATTTCTGGTCACAATGGGGTCCAAAATTTTTAACTAGTTGTATGGCAAGTACAGAGTCAACCTTCTATTGCCTTAAAAACATTTTCAGGATTAAATGAGTAATGTCGCAGCAAATCTAGTGAAACTCATTCATGCTTTTATCTTTGGTTGAGTTTGGTTGTCTTCACAGATCTGCCTGAATCAATCAGACAGCTGGCTCCTCCAAATGAACTTCTTGTCATTGTGACCCAATAACTCTCTCTCTGTGTCATCTGAACATCAAACATTTCAGAACTGAGTGGTTTTGCAATGTTAATGTTTATATACCTGTGCTGTATATTTTTGATCATGTGTGAATTAAAGAAACTCAAAAAGGAATGAATACCCAATTCTTTTTTAAGCATAATTTCTGTAGTTGTATAATCCATCCTTCAAGAATGGTTCAATTAAGTTATTAAAAGTACATAATAAATATAGCAGTCATAAAGCTACTGTTGAGTATAGTAACAAACATTTGGCCAGAATTGCATCAACCCAGGCCTCTTGGTAATCATGTTTTGCCTTCTCTTATCATCACTGAGAATCCTGACCCCATAAAACTGATTACAAGCTTGTTGTTTCTGACCAAAGACCCGGAGAATGAAGCACTGATGAGACTGTGACTATCACACGTCAGGTTTACTGGTTTGTGTGAGCTCGCAGAAAAGCTGGAATTACATTGTCATCTTAACTTGAGGCCACTAAGCTCCAGGGTTACATTTTATCCATAATAACTGTTTCAAAAGTGAAATAAAAGTAAAAGAAAGATGGAGAATGTTTTCCTCACTCCAGAGAGCTTACACAATGTTGTGACTCACAATATGATCTGTCTATAAGTTTATACATGGCCATGGATGAGATGCCTTTCGCTTTGAAGTATAAATAAATAGACAAGAGCTAAAGACTGATCTAAAACTTTATGAGAAGTTTAAAGTAGAAAAGATCATTTGGTCTAAAAAGAAAGAAAGAAGAAATTTTGAAGTAATATCTGGGTGTGAGTTCAGTCCTTTCCTGCCCACTGAAACTAAGTCCTGTACATGGATTAAGTAAAGGTCAGATGAATTATTAATACGACTGAACAAAATGTATTATTATTATTTATTAATTAGAGCGATAGATCAAGGTTTTTAAACTGAGATTCCTTTAAAGCAGAGGATTTAAACTCCAGTCCGTCTGGGCAGGTGTCCCACAACTTTAAGAAGTTTTGTTGAAGTAGCACATCTTAATCAAATAACAGCAGGCCTCTGTAGAAACTGATGGCATTTAGTCAATGTGATTTAGCCAATTAATTCAGCTATGTTTGATTAGAGTCACATCAAAAAGTTTGAGGACATCGGGTCTTAAGGACTGGAGTTTGAACACCCTGTGTTAAAGGGTTACAAGCAGCTAATATCCTATCTGTATTACATAACTCTCTCATCTTCTTCATATAGAATGAATCGAGATTAGTTTTTACCCAGAAGCTGAATCTAATGGCTAGTCTGAGGGAAGTTGTTCTGAAACAACTCCAATAAAAGAAACTGTGCAAAGAGTATTTTATCAACCTTTACACAATTTTATACTTGTACTGTGGGGATTTTTATTTCATCATTATTTCATTGTAAAATAAAGTTGACTATGTTTTAGTTGGGTAAAGGTTAGGGTTAGGCCTCAAAACGCCTGAATTAAATTAAAGGTTCATTGCTGGGCTCCTGCTGAACTTAATGATATTCTGAGGATCTAAAGGCTTGAGTTGTTTTAAGATGGGGAGGTTCTGCCTTCGTCTCTCCCTTTTTCTGTCAGGATTAGCCTATAGGACCAACAAATCTAAATATGTGCTGAAAAAATTATCTTGTCATTTTTTCAAATAAGTTGAACAAAAAGCAAAAATAAAAGAACAAAGATAAGGATAGGGAAGAGTCTACAAACAACAATTCCCATCATTAGGAAGAGTCATTTCATAGCTGAAAGCTCTATTCTCTCTATAGGCCTTTAACCTGTGCTGCTGGTGTGACAAACACGAACTGCACTCTCCAGGCTCTCGCTCTTAAAAAAAAAAAAGATATATATGCTTATTTTCTTCCAGAAATGCAGCACATTAAGAGCTGTGTCACAGTGCATCAGCAGGGAGAGCATGAGGATGATATTTTT